GAAGCTCTGAATACGGTAGATATACATAGATCCCTGAACTGCCATAAGACTAGCTGGTCGTCCCGTGAAGCTTACAAAGCCTATATATAGAATAAATACCCTGGCATTCCACTGTAAGACATATAATGAGCTAAGCAAAATCGAAAATCTCCCCTGTTGCTTTAGTAAGTTCACCGTATTACTATGGGGTGTCACAGATATCTAAACAATCAAATTGAGCCGTTTTAGTTCACAAGCCCGTACATGTAAAAATAGTTTGTTAGTTATGTCTATAATCTGTAATCAGCAATTCTCGTACGCATAATGTTAGACTTCGCTGGTACTTCATTAAGAAGCACATGTAATTTATATGTATTATAGAATCAACTAATTGTGACCCCACTCACATGATAGCAAAATATCGATATCGAAGCTACAAATCACAAGCTAAAATTATAAGGTTGCTTGCGTCAGCAGGTTGTTATATGGAGATTAACAAAGAACTTACTTCTTTCTTCAAAAATAAAGAAATTTAGACCAGTAGTGTGTTTCCTTGTTTCGTATCAGATTTTTTTTTATCTCTATTCAACGATTCAAGTTTTTGAAGCAGTATTTTTTTTATTTATTTGGCCCTAACACTTCGAATCCTTGCATGATACATAATAACTATAGACTGTTCGAAGAGCTAGTGTCACCATATCAGCGAATCGGTAGTACCTCTTCGTAATCAAACTATTTCGGTGTCGCCTGAATTCTCTTGCCGCCCGTTCCTTAAAGGGCCGTTTTTTTAATTAGAAGTTTGCTATAAGTCGTTTTCTGTTTCAGCTCTCAGCTGAAAAAGAATCTGAAAGAAACTGTCAAGAAAACTGAAATTTTGAAATGAATTGCACATAATCATATACTACGTTGTAGTTGGGCTTACCTTGATAGTAGGATGACATGAATCTTGATTTACTTGGAAATCTTGACGGCGGCCTTCTATTTCCAAGACGAACCCTTTGTTTTAGTGTAATCTACATCTATGTTGAATTTCTATTATATTAGAATGCCTTCATGAGACCGAAAGAGAAATATGACACAGAATCAGTTTCGTGGACATTAGTCTTTACATCAAAGACCAGCTTGGTGTCCTCATTCGCTGATAGAATCCACTAATTACATGAGTCTTTTTTATATTTCAAAAATTGCTTTTATGTTCATCCTAAACGAGTGTTAAAGATAGCCTTGCAATTCATAAATTTGCTTATTTACTAGGGTATGCTCAATCAATCATGTTCTTGGCCAAAACGGTAAAAAAATCGAGTAAACCCGTGCATCGTATAATGTACTGCAGTCAACAAGCTTTATGGCACGTAATGTAGTAACATTTGGAGTGCTACCTACCTATTTGACTTAATAAACTGTCTTGAAGATTTTTAGGAGCCTTGACAATTGACTAATAAACATCAACATTTTACCTGGCAACTAGACGCTATCTAGCTACATATTTGACTACAGAAGAGAGTTTTTCAAAACGATTATTTGAATTAGTTGGGTACGAAAACTTGCAACAGGGCTTATCTTTCGACACAGGAGTGTTCAAGAAGCCATTCTTACAGCTCTAGAATAATTAGCCATATTAACTCAGCCATTGTCTAGTTCGTTTTTAGAGATCGGTACTGCTGGCCAATTTGCATTGTTGTCTAAATATTTTTAACTTTTATTATTCACTTAAATATTCTACCACAAATGATCGTCCTCGATGAGTCATTTGATGAGTGTCTGTTATATACACTTAAGTCTTGTCTAATCCCTTGTATATCAATCTGCTTAACTCATAAAAATGATAGTAATGCCGCAAGCCGCTTATTAATTAGTATATAGTGATCGAAGAGTGGAAGAATGTAACATTGATATCAAACAGGGGTGGTTAGAGAGGCTCGCATATTCTAGAGAGGCTAGACATTAGAATAGAATCTTTAATGTTTTATTAAATTTGACTTCTTTACTGCTATTTTATAATTTATTGTGACTGAATACCATCGTATTTACCTATGGTTTCAGCTACTAATACAATATGGTGCTTTTTACAGCGCATGTGATATTGCATTTTTTGAAACTCCAACGAGTAATTGATCTGGGCATCCAAAAATGTTTCTCTTATAGTGCTAAGTTTTTGTTCTATTAAATAACTAAAATTTAGCTAAAATCGTAACCTACGTTACATTCCTTAAATAGCATATGTGTCAAATTCAATTGACACTTTTTATTGGTTATCGGCTACGGCAAGATATTCCAGAATCACAAGTCTTTAGACGCTGACTTTTAGATCAATTTATTATTCTTCTTTGAATGCCATTGCTGCAACCCTGGGCAGGTCAACGTTTTTGCTTACACCGGCTGTTTTAGGTCTCGTGATGGAGGTTGACTGTGACATATTCCACCTCGACCACAGTCAGAAGTAATAGAGAATCCCATGTCTCAGTAAAATTGTTCAGTCGATCGAATTGATCCATTTGCATCTAGATTTTGCCACCGGTGTCTAAAAGGTGACGAATTGTGCATCGCTCGTTTTAAGATGACTAAAAACATCATACAAAAATGATAAGAAACCCGCAGAAATGAAGGGACCTTCAGCTGGACCAATATGCGTTTCCATTAACCAAAAATTAATAAGCGGACCTGGGTATATATAATTCGCGTAAAATGTGATTTCATCAAATCCAAAGCAAGTACGCATAACAATCGATGCTTTCGTGCAGTTTTGAATTTATTAATAAGATTAGGTGTCTACCTACCGTGGCATGATCTGTAGGTGCAATGATTAGGTAGGACATGTCTATGGCATTGTTGACCTGAATGACATTGGCAACACTGACAATAGCGGTTTTGACTTTTTGCTAAGAAATGGAACTGCCATTTGTGCCATCTACAAACGCGCCACATCGGACGAATGCTGTAAATTTCGTGTGCCTCATTTAAGTGAGAGAACTTTATTAATATTATCATGAGTTGTGGTTGAAGATTCAGTTTAACACACAGTAACGCTTGAAAACTATTAGACACTTTTCAATTACTATCGTATGCCGTAATTGGTTTTGTCATACTACAACGTAGGTGAGGTAGTGGGCGTAACTACTTATAAATGTACGGATGGCTGCGAAGAAGTTTCATGGTTTGCAAGCAAATCAACAAGGAGCGCACGATGGCACAAACGGTATAAAACCTTGTCGGCGCCCCTGCCATTGAACAGCAGATCTCCAAGGATGAGCAGGTGAAAATGTGATGCTAATGAACCGTTGAAAATTCAGTATTGGTAATCCAAAAACGCCGTACAACCTTTATTGTATATTGTTGAGGAGTAAATCCTTCTCTAAATATAATATCTATACGGATAAGATTTTTCCCTAATGTGACCTTAATTATTAAAGGACTGCGCAACACTTCAGTATCTGATCCTGTAAGCGACTGAAGCTATACTAATCCATTTAACAGAAAATGTATTACACCTTGTCTTCAGCAAGAAATTGTTCGCCGGTTTTATTTAGGACTTGCTAAGATGGCTTTCCGAAAATTTGTTTTCTGTTTAGATGTATGTACCGTTTTTTAGATTCCTTAGACACATTTCTAGCAAATCGGAAGACATTTTTTTGTGTAATTTATTTAATCTTGGCATAACTTTTTGTTATAACGAAAAGTTTTCGGTATATCGTGTGGCCAGTATTTTGTTCGTTACAAGACAAAAATAGGTATTTTACACACAAGACTCTCAAGACCCGAGAATAAACCCGACTACATATATATAGTCGGGTTTACCCTTACCATCAGAGAAGCACCGATCAAACATTCTTTCAGATTTTTTGTATGAGATATTTAGTCCGAAATGCACGATGCTTAAGAACTGCTTTCATATATTTGAAATGTGCAGTAGCCTTTACTAAATTTTTCCTATTGTTAAATAACTCCGCTATTACAGAAATCACGTTGAAAACAATACTAATAATATCTATCATTATTATTACTATTATTATCATCATTGTCTACCACTTACGGTCTGCAGAAATCGGCTAACCGCTAGAGAGCTAATTAGCTATTAAGTGCGTTCTGAAAACAGAATCAATTAGCCAGCACTAAGAAGGCCCCGTCATTGCATTGTAGAAATCTACCAAAAACCAAGGACATTAGAAGAAAAAAGGCATTAGAAGAGGTTAATGAAATTATTATAGAAGAGCGACGGGTTAAATGGAGCCAGGTAATTGCAGTGGTATAACTACTGGTTTACGTTTATTATAGTTTTTTTAGTGACACATTATCATATCAGCAAATCAACCGCAAAACGGGCACGGAACGAAGCCTGCGGATCCATAAGGTTATTGCAAAGTGTGGTACAATATTCATAATTATCAATAACTACTCGAATATTCTCAATCGTGACTAAGCTCGTTCTTATTGCATGTCAAAGAGCTTGATACTGCTTGCGTTTGTCGCAGTTTCTCGTAAAAGTTGAATGGCAAATCGATATTTCTATTTGCTCTATGTGCTTCACAAAAACCGACAGACGTTGATATACACCGCGACCGTTGGCTCAGTTGTGTATGCCTTTGCTAAAAGGTACCTACAATTGCTTATTTGACATAATAGCGCGCGTCGGAGCAAGGCAGTACTTTACCATCTACTACTACTTTACTACTACTACTACTACCAGCAACTGAATAGAACGAACAGCAATCTCTGCTTCACAATGCAAGCGGAACTAAGATAATAAAACACAAGATTTTACTATCTGGTGATCGAAAACATCTACAAATATTGCTCCGTTCAAAGGAACAAATCACTAGTATTCATTGCCAGACAGAGACTCTTTACCTTTATGAATACTAGAGTAAAATTATGCATACTTCTTGGGTCTAGTTAATTAATGAGAGATTACGAACTTTTTGTGAATTATCAATAATTCACGTACATAGATAAATGTTATATTATATCAGAATTTAAATCATTTTCATACTAATTAAAATGGAACCAGCTAACAAGCGCACCACCGACAAAATATTGGCGCCTTTATCATTTGGCTAAGACATATTGTCAGCGTAGTTACATGTAACAGGCTTTAAATACCACCTTGAGGAATACAACTTTGACCCGAAAGGTTATATTTGGAGTATGATCTCGCAACTGAAATCTAATACGCTACAATAAACTTCAGAGCTATGTAACATGCGATTTCTTTCTTCTTACAGTTACTTCTTAAACTACTTACAATCTTGTCTCTACTGTATAGTGCTTAAACATTGTGGTTTTTACCAATTCAGTACCGCACTGTGCAAATTAATATTAATTTTTCTTAAGTGTTATCTACCTATTACCTAAATGAAGCCAATAGAAGCATATTGTACTACTATGACGAACGAATGGCACATACCTAAAATCATGTTGTATTTAATTAAAATAGAAGTCATCTCTTACTAAACATATTTTTACTAAGCATTTCCAAAGTCTCATTTTCGGATGCTGTTATGGGGACAGGGACAGGGTTGTCGGTCGTTTCTTTTGCGACGCGATCTGTTAGATTGGAAGTTACGAATGAAATCAATCAGCTTAGCCACCTTAACAATCGCATTTACGCTGGTTAAAAGCTGAATTGTTCCGACACTCTCCGACACCGAAACATGAATTACCCAGAATATACATATTCAGTATACAGATGGAAGATGCGTGATTTAGCGAAGCATCCAACTGCCAAATACACTGAGAAAAAAGCTTAAATATTAGATAATGTTAATTATGAAAAAATGGTAATTTGTAACTGTTACCATAAATATTATGCGGAATGAAAATCGGAGAAAATTCAAGGATTATTAAACTTCTACTCGCATTACGAGTGACTTGGTAAACATAACTTACAATAAAACTTTGTTGAACGCGAATATTGGAATGAGTAGAAATGACTGCACATCATAAACCAGATACCGTCATACTAGCAGAACTGCATATCTTACACGAAAAGAAAGCGCGCATTTCACATAGAGAATCGAACTGAAAAGAAAACTAAAAAAGTTAAATCAAAGTGGGAACTAAATAAATAAACTATTTAACTCTCATATTGCTCCAACTTTTTTTCATATCAAAAAAACAAGCCAATAACCATTATTGCAATGTTAAAGTTCATGCACTAAACAAGTTTTAGTTGTTCCTTAATTTGCGTCACCGGCTTTCATGAATTCTATTAGCTTGACCTTGTTTTCTCAGTTTTCCTGGTCGTATATTTTAGCAGAAAAGGGGAGTGCACTCAAATCAGTCTGCAATCTGTTTCTAGAACAGCAATTTTATACAAAATGTAATTTTTTTTTCAGGAAAATATTAGCTTCTGTTCGTTTATTACCACTGTTATTATTAAGAAAACATTCTTGAATATTTCAGAGAGTCCTAAATGAAACAATACTGAAGTACTTACGTGAACTAAGGGAAAAAAGTATCACGACGAGTTTGGATCTGCCACGCGTTGGTAAAGGCGTTACAATTTCCCTAAAAGATATCTGGTCCAGTAGGCATCCAACTAGAAAAGTTCATCTGACAAGACAGATACCTCTTGTCTACGTTTTCGAAGCAGCTATATGCAACCAATAAAATTTAAGGAGGTTATTTTGTTTTCAAAAAATGTGTCATAAAAATCTCCTTTTATGATAGTACTAGGACCCATATTTCTAACCAAAAGAAGAACGCAATCGTACGCAAATGTTTATTTAGAAATTTTAATTTTGAATAATGTGGTTTGAAGTGTGAAATGAAGTACAATGCACACTGTAGTGGATTTTGTGAAAATTCCATAACATCCTTTACGCACGTTTTCTCACCGGTTGCATGGGTAAGCTTTTAACGATAAGAATATTTTGACTACGTGTACTTGCATGACTTTGTTTGTCTCTTATAGTACAGCTATATACATATTATTCGTGGGAACCTTAACCTGTATGAGCTTTACTTGGCAAATGAATATATCCATTATTCGAGTAAAACTGCCATACACGTTACTGCAATGAAACGAACGAGTGAATTAAAATTGTCAAAAGTTCCGTTAATTAACAATTAAAATAAGTCTTTATGAATAGTTGCACTTCGAAAACCATAATATTCATATATTGCGCATATCACCCAATGTTGACTATCTGGTTCTGTCTATCGCTAACTGTTAGACGTCAGTTAGAAGTCTAATGGCCTCTACTGATTCTACCTTTAAAACCTATTTAGAAAACCCCTTAATTGCGGGTTTTCAGTCCTCAAAACTAATAAAAAGAGTCCATTTTACTACTCTTCTAAAATGTATTTACAATAACAACCTTGCAGTAACAGAGCTCCTTCAAATGTCAGATAAATGAACTTTTTTACCGTCTCATTATATCCCAAAAAAGGATGCAGATATTTCTTCTTTCTGTGTAGCTATTTCACGTATTATTTCACAACGATTTCTTCGACTGAAATAATTTTTCTGTTGTATCTGTCTAAATTAAGGCCCTTTTTTATGTAACGTTGATAAAACGTTATTTCTCATTCACATACTAGTTCACTGGACAAATCGCCTAAAAGGTATAAATTTTATCTTTTCCTTCCGCCCTCTTTCCACTAAAAAATCGCGTGATTTTTAGTATCTACAGATGATTGCACTTGGATAGCTCTCCGCGTCCTCAGTTAGGTAAACGTTGAAGTCCACATTTCGCATCGCATTACACCCCGAGGGGATTCTTGGTTGTGAGACCACCAACATCGTACATACCTGTCGCAATGTTCTGCATCTTCTTGAAATTGGTCAACTTCTCTGCGGACCTATAGGAGCAGAAATAAATTTGTGCCAAATGAGTTAACATTTTTTGTCGATAGAACTAAAACGAACAAACCTACTTTTGCACCAGCAACGTGCCATTTCTTCAATTGGTTAATAGAAGCGGCTGGTGTCACAGAAAGTAGATAACTGTAAATGCTCACAGGGAACTAGCATGGTTTGCCAGTGAGCTGATTTATGTTTGGTCCGTTAATTAGTCCATACGCATAAGCTCGTGGTCAGCTATAAGACTAACGCCGCTTCGCCCATCGGAGGAAGATGCAGTTACCTTTTAAGAAGTTCATGAAATTTCAACGGACAGTCAAGCCAATTAATTATATGCTGTGAAGAGTACTTCAGTTTATTTGTCTATTTTTCCATCGTCTTTATGTCGTAGCAATAAGAAATTGTAACCCCAGCTTACCTGATCGAAGCCAGATTCCTTGCAACTCGCTCAGAAAGTTCTGAGCAGATAATGTCCACTAAAGTAGCCTCGTGCACGGCGGACGGGAGGCCTTTCTGCATTGTTTTTGTACAGCGGGACAGGCAGCACATCATCGCATGGATATCTATTGCGGAGTTCGCCAAACGAATTAACAAGAACTGTTCATCTAAAAACAAAAATCACACACAACCATTACAGCACATTTCAACAAAGAGTATTTCAACAAAGAGTAATAAAATGTGGCTATTGACAAAATAATGATAACATTAGAAATATACTTGCCGACATTTAAGACTATATATCGATAGAAAACTTGCAGTTCCAACGACTGAAATGTGACTGATAGGTCACTCGAAATGTGTTAGCAACAATAAATTACTCACTGATAATATTTTTGCCATATTTGATGAGCATAGATTCGCAGCTTGCGCCGAATTGTTCGATCGAACGTGAGGCGAGCGCCGCGCTCGTTTGGAGCCGGACAGGAACATGTGAATCAAGTGATGGCGCAGAGGACATTCCAACAGCACGTTTCACCCGCTTCGAGCCCTCAGCGAAGATAAGACCGAGATTTGCAGCCGGGTTAGCCATAGCACGCTGAAGCTCCTTAAGATGTCCTCCGGCAAATTGTAGTCCTACATAAAAAATCGACGGGCAAGTGCAAACGTTAGTTTCACAACTTCTGATCGCGGGGATCGCGTTGTTTTTGCTAGAATGGTACTACCTTGTGCCATTATGTTTGACACTAAATCATTTGAGAGAGCCGTGAGTGCACGTCGTGACTTTTACTTCTGCTACTGAAACTGTTATACACTTCTTCAGATATCTAGCTTCTGCCAGCATGAAACAACGTGTACTTGCGGCCGGATTCGAATTTAAACCATCACGTTCATTTAACTTCAGTAGGCAAACACATTATTCACTACTCTATCACGAAGATACTATTTGCTTTGTATAACAAATAAATAGAAAATGCTGCAATTTGTAATATCACTCATAGATTACGATCAGACAGTGCTATGTAACCATACTGAGCACCATTGAATTAATAACGGATCCTGCTGAAAATGTCACCTTGAAGGGCGATGAAAAGCCGGAGAATATCGTTAGCTCCCTCAAAAATACGGAAAATACGCAGGTCACGGAGAACCCTTTCCAGGCCGGTTTCTGACATGAAACCCATGCCACCATGAATCTGAATAGCTTCATCACACACCCACCAAGCTGCTTCGGAACCGAGAATTTTTGACACAGCAGCCTCGAGGTGGTAATCCGTGAAGCCGCGATCCATGTTGCCAGATAGTGCAAATGCAACTGACTAAACCGGGAATTGGAATCGCGAAGAAACAAAACAATGACGAAAAGTAGTAAAAAAGCGCGTCATATAAGCTATAAAATGGTGATTAGAAAAAAAAATATATCAAGGATAAGAAAAATTATTACCAGTACGTAAATATGTGATAATCGACGATGCTGTGGCAGTTAATTTCGGCTGCAGTGTCACTAGCAGGTCTGAAAATGACTGTGACCTTTCCTTTATCAAATCATCATTTGAATAATACATGCCAATCAGCTGCGCAGGGTGATGTAAAAAGAATTCATACACACATCCGAGTACTACCTACCTCTGTCATGTAATGTAGCATGTGCATCCTGGCAAGTTTTTCCTGAACATTGCCAAACGAGGCAATTTTACGTCCAAATTGTTGTCTCTGCATCGCGTAGTTGGTTGCTTTTTCAATGCAGTAACGCATAGTTCCACCCATAACGCTACCCAAGCCAAAACGACCGTTATTTAAAACGGAAACGGCTATCTACAAAAATAACAAAATCACTTGATATATATCAGTGACCTCTAAGGCCATGCATAATGATTGCCAAAACACATCTAATTATACGGTTATAAAAAGCTGATACACGTTTAGTGAGTCATACGTGTATACAAACAATGAACGACAATATACTATTCTACTGATATCTTCCGTATTAAGTTGAGTTTGTTGTCAATACCTTTTTCCATCAAAGCAAGAATTTAATATAAGTAAATAGTATGCTTAATTAAAGGCATGTGGAATAATGCTTTAATATTATTATCAAAATAACATTGTCAAATGCCATCGCATCAGTGTGTGAAACCCCAATATTTCCACATATTTTACGAAAATTGCACCTTCTCCACTGGGGCTTCATTGATTTAAGTGTATGTCGCCTTTACTACATAGAGCATAGGCGAGGCGTTAAATACCTTGAATCCTTCACCAGGTACTCCAATCACGTTCTCGACGGGAATTTTCACATTGTCGAAGTGAAGTGTGGTTGTATTAGATGCCTTGATGCCCATTTTCTTTTCAGGAGGTCCGCTCGTTACACCAAATGCGCGCTCAACAAGGAAACAAGTGATACGATCTTTAACCTTACCGTCTTTCTCTACCGGGGTCTGTAACGTATATAGTCCAATTAGAGCATTATTGAAAAGATTCTCGTTAATGGCAGTATTTTCTACTTCATAAAATACTCATTAATACAGATGGTTTCAGGGATAGCAAATAAGCAAGAAAAAAAAGCAGGTTTATTACTGCTTATCACTTGTGTATGCTATGTTTAACTAAGGCTAATGTAGCCCTACTTTATCATACAGTATTTATAACCTTAGCGAATATCGTAAAGATATCAGCGGTGTGTCCGTTTGAAATGTAAATTTTTTCCCCATTCATTATGTAATGCTTCTCGTCCGGAGCTAAAACCGCCTTCGTTGTGATGCTCATTGCATCCGACCCGCTGCCCGGTTCTGTTAAACAATAAGCCGCAACGGTTTTTCCACTTGCAAGATTCGGAAGATACTTCGCCTTCTGTTGATCGTTACCATATAGAAGCAGTGCTTTAAATCCTGTGAACAAATAAAATGAAGGATAATTTAATTTCTGGCACAACTACACAAATATTCTGCGACTAATAATTTCGACAAAATTTATTTCCCGTGAAATGCGCGCAGGTTAAGTAGCGAGGATGATTCCTGTGTTCGTAATATCTTTATCACAAATAATTCAGTACTGATTCTTTAGTGAAACCACTTGATTGGGTAATGTGTTTCCTGCATACCGATCGATTGATGAGCACCAAGAGTGACTGCAAGAGCGAGATCGGTATAGCCCAAGACTTCACAAAGCTTTCCATACTGTTGGTTATTGGCCCCGATTCCACCGTACTCCTCAGGAACCTGTATCCCGAATGCACCCATTTCTTTCATATGGCTGGTAATTTCGTCCGGAATTTTCCCCTCACGGTCATTCTTAGCAGGATCATTTTTCTCCTAAAAGTTTCGTTAAAAAAACACTAATGTCTTGTTTAGAAGGTCAAGTTCAGCATGATGACCAAAAAGACGAACAGTCAATGAAGCGCCACTTCCGAGAACAATGAAACAGCTTAGTACTGGTGATTAATTAGAGTAAATAGATGAACTTCCACTTGCGCATCTGTTTGCTCGCCTCAAGTGTTTCTTGACATTATAAAGAGTAACATTAATTATTATTACATTGCTGGAAAACGCATCGAACTATCAAAGGGAAGGAAACGTTTTCGAGCTTATGCTGCTTCGCCTGTCTTTAGGATCTATTTTATAGATAAAATGTCAAAAAATATCTATGCTTTATTTAGATGTTTCTTTTTTGTTTTCGAATATGCAGGCGAAAACTTTGCAAAATATAGAACGCCTGCGAAGTTTCTTTGCACTGCTTAAAATAGCAATTGTGCTCTCCAAAAATATTTTGTGCAACATCAGTTTAAAGCGAAATAAAATTTTAAGCAATAAATACTCAGTTTACCAAACAAGTATATACACCATGTAAATAAATTCAACTTGACTAACAACTTCACTAAACTACTAATCAACTAAAAACTACATACCAGTAAAAAGCTTTCACAGGTTGACGCAATCATCCCCGTAGTCTCAAGCTGTTCGTCGGTTAGAACTGAAATCATAGGAAATGAAAATACAAAACGTTTATTCGTTCAAGTTAGTAAACACAGTAAATCTTAAGCTACACTTGACAGGAGAAGATAACTTCTTCTATAGGATTAGAAACGTCATCGAGACACGTAATAAAAAAGGAACATTGAAACCTCACGTACCATCCGGGTAGGGAAAGACTTGTGTGAAATCAGCATCGCCTTTAAATAGGTTCATCACGAACGAGTTGCTTTCCTGTTTCATAGCCAATCAATACGAAAGAGAGCAGATAAATATGAACTAACTATTTTCTATCATACGGTGCCGATATTACGGTATAAACACAAATCGTTAGAGAAGCAGGCTTTTATGAACGCGTACTGTAGAAAGTTAAAGGTTTATATAAGTAATACAACCAAGTAACGGTGTCACTGTAACTGTATAACCAGCGAATACTTCTCATACAATTTACGCTAAGTTCATTGTTACCCTTGTCGTTAACTTGTCGTTATTGTTAACTTTATATATATATTGTCAACTTTATATATACATATATATAGGCCACTTCAATTCGTTAAAACACTTAAGTTTCGATAGAATCCATAGGTTTCTTAAACTGAGCATACAACACCAAAGCCGGGAATCAATTTAAAAGCAAAAACTTACGGGCAAAAAAACAAAATCGATAAAATAGAAAATAAAGATTTATCTCGAATCCAGTGGGGATCAAGTTATAATATAGTATTAGACTACCAAGTCATGCAAACGTCCTAATTGTCAATGAGAAAGCGATCCTCTTAAAAAAATCTCATCAAGTTAGAGACATGCAGTGATGCGTTTACTCTAGGTGTCGCTACACTAGTCATTGATTATTCACACAAACTATGAGAAAATACGATAGTAAATTCTTAAAACTTACAACTGGTCCTCCGCTCTTCTGATGGCGTGAAAAAATGGAAGTCGGTTATTGACACGTGAAAGACGTGTTGCACGTGGAGAACTCAATCAATTAATACCAACTCCCATTGTAACTGTATTCTGACCTTGTTTGTCCATTTATACAAACAACTAATGAATGTTGGTAATGCGTTTTAGAAACAGGCCAATCATATAAAACACCTAGGCCGTAATGGCGCCTTTCGCATCATTCGTCTGTAGAATCGTTCCATTTTGTGAATGATAACCCTTTGCGATTTAGCTACTGTGATCAATAAGAACTGTTTCTTCATAGGTGAACTTCATCGATATTCCTAATGATGAAAAAGCACGATCCAAAAGAAAAGCTCGAAAAACCTACAGCAGGTGCACGACGATCCTTGGGCTCTTCTGCAGAACCTAACGTTGTCGAGAGCTTACGTATGCTAGGAACTGACAGAGTTTCTGTTGCACCAAAGAATTGCGCCGACAAGGACAAACCATGACGCCCTACAGGAGCGGACAAGAGCAGACCGTGACGGATCACGCAGTTTGTAGACGCTCGAAGACGAAGCATCGTAACAATGTTATAGATTTCGTTGGCTTTCCGACGTTTGAAACTGAAACTGGACCACAGGCAAACAACACCAATCTGTTTATTTAAATTTATTTAACCACTTAGTTGCATAATTTAGTCTTTTTTTGTTTTCAGTCTATTTTTATTTCAATATGGAATGTGTAAGTTTTTATAATACTGGGTCAAATATGATTAATCAAGTTGTAAAACATCGAAATGTTATTGTTTATTTTATTTCGGACTTTTATTAAAATATCTAATTGAAGATCTTTGACTAACCGTCTAACCATACGCGAAACAAGCACCTATAAAATATCTTTTTAGTATCGTCGCCATCATCTGTTATTATTTCTGCGACATCATTTAATCAAAAATTTCAGTTCCGCTGCCTATTTCAAATAGGCACCAGTAGTCCCAAAATGACGTTAGATGCAATCGGCCAGGGCACATTCACAGAACTCTGACAGAGGAAAAATACAATAGTCATTTGAAGGTTTAGTCTCGCGATAATTGCACCCGAGCCCGGCCGATAGATTGTGCGAGCATGCCAAGTTCCACTAAGATCAGCCCAACAAATCGATTAATCATTTTGACTTTATTATATTTTGAATACATCACTTTCACGCCAACGTTTATGCCAGTGACGACAACACGAATCGCCCAATTAATTCTCCTAGCGAGAAACTGAAGTCAAGACGAAGCAGATTACGTTCAGACTAAGCACCACTAAGTCGTCTGGTGTGTGTAATACCATAAAGTCACCGAAGAGCTAACCAAGTCATCGGGTCTTGTGCAAATTCAACTACCACCACAGAATACCTACGTCGTACATACTGTGTACAAGATTAGGTGGGCACTTTCGAAGCTCATTATAAGGGAAGTTAATAATCGACTCAATAAGCATCCTAGAAAATTATTTGCTCATGCTATCTCAAGTGAACTTTAATACGACTTACAAGAAATGACAAATGAAGTACTAATAACGGCTCTAATCATTGTTAGCTGTGGTCTAGTCTTGATATAACAAAATAAAGGGTTATTTATGGAAACAACTGTAATAAGCGTCCTGCTTTGCCAGCCTACAGCAGAGTATCTGTGAAACAATTGTTAAAACAAAGAGACTATTACTTCTTATGATAAATTGACCCAGACAATGGCTTGCCGACTAATACTAGGTCTGACCCTATTACGTTGGAGTCAAGGGTGACTTCAAAATTCACGTAAACCCTTGGTTTGTATGCACAAAATATACTCCTCACCCAACGATCTCAAGCATTACGTGTTCAGTTATTGAATAGACCTATAGATTTTGCATTCCCTGCGACTCTTTTGTAGAAATGCTAACTCACCAATAGCTGTAAGCATGTGAAGCTAAAAATACAGTTAAAAATAAACAGCCGAATGAAAATCGCCCAGTAGGAAAACACCAGCACGTCTCAGCTTTTCAATGGCCACTGCTTTAGTACTAATAGACCAGACCACGACAATCGCTAACAAGACATAAGGACAAAGGATACGATTGTTGTGGTTGAGAGGGTGAATGTAAAAGTTTCAGTGTTCCTGATGCTGCTTCCCCAAAGACACCACCACTTCAAACAAATTACCGCGGTCGGTCTTCCTCGTTCTTCGGTCGGCAGTTACCTGTTACCATGTTTTGGTTAGGAAAGGCGCGAAATTCGAAAATAACCGCGAACAGGCGGCGCTTTGGTACTAGTCGCCAACAGCTTAAGCCACGATAAACTAGTTGGGAAAATGTTCGGACTCGATGTTTTTTTTTGCTGCAAATATAATGCCTTGTGGTTGTGAACTTCAACTTGCGTGTGTAAACAAGCGGTACTATTCAAGTTATGAATACCTGAGTTTACGCAACTGATGGTACTGACAGCTTGAATGCATTCTGTAAATAGTATGTAAACGAACTAGAACAGCTAAAAAGAGTCTTGTCTCAACGTAATCCAATAGCAGGTGATTATTGTTAACTTCAAAGGTTTGCATGGTTTGTGGTGATAAGAAAATGTTAGATACGCATTGAGTTCGCTTTACTATGAAGAAACAAAGTAAATCCCGAGAATTTTCTTACGGATATTTTTAGTGTCGTGATAAACGAGATTACCGAGCTAATATGCCGGACTCCAATATTTGAAAACAATACAAACGAAATAAAATAGCGACGTCGCTTATGCCTGGCGTATAGATGTTTCTGTATGTTATAGGATACATTCACTTTGGGGGGTAGATTTCAAGTCGAAGCTAGGTCCGAGTCAACGTGTTAAATATTGCCAGTTAATCTGTTACTAGCACACGACCCAAAAAAATTCTAGTAAGCCACTGTTTCCCAGACTTTGTGAAATTTTGGGTTATTGAACTAATAAGGGTATTCCTATAGTTGTTTTCACTTGTTCTCCACGGTAAACTCTAGTACGAAATTAGGTTTTTACTTTCAGTTCAATCCAGTATCATTCCCCTAACCGTCATGCCTTACATATTAATAATGATTTCTCGCTAAAACGTGTTTTTTTACCTTATCACTTTTATATCTGCTTTATTCCTCTTTTATCATTTTTCATTACATCAGCCTTTATGAAATGCACCAGTTGACAAGCTATGATATATAAAACTTCAAATACACCTTGCTTTACCTATGTCTCCTCAGGACTTTCATCATGACTAGAGGTGCCACTTATCATGCAATCCGCTGCTATCGCTGCGGTTTATATCAGGTGAAGCAAGTAAAAAAGAGCGGTATCTTTCAGTGCTTCAAATGTCGCGCCCAACAGAAAGCTGCAAAAGAATTCTATCGAGGAGCATCGGCGGAGTGCCGGGAGGTTTGTGCTATCATATATATTAATTCTTAGAGTGTTCGTACAGTGAGTACAATGGAAACAATGGGTGACTAGTGGATATTTACCATGTATATGATATATTACTGTAGTAACCAAAATGATTTCAGCGTACTTTTATTCGCTTTCAGGTGTGGCTACCAATCGACCACAAGACTTATGTTTTCGACTGAATGTTACTTGTGCGTGTAGACTTCTCCTCTACCCGTTTTAAAATGTTGTAACGCAAATACAAATCGAACAAAATTTACTCGGGCAAAGGGCACCATTTTGATGAAAAGTCTGTTAGCTACATATGATTAATTTTCGAAGTTCCTGTGCCACATTATATATAACAAGTATCTATAATTATTTTTGTTTTTTGCTCTGTTTTAGTTTTCTGACGACATGTTTGACCCGCTTTTTAACATTTCAGATCGTGCAGGCCTTAAGTAAGGCAGCTCATCTTGGTAAAATTAGTTCTATACCAGCTCCAAATGATTCCTACGAGGAGCCTGCTAGCCCGAAAAAGCACAAAAAAAACAGTGTTTCATCCAAACTTAAGGACAAACCTATTCACTTTCCCAAAACCGACGATGAACTGAAACAGGTAGAACAAGAAGAAGACACTTTATTCTCTTTCGAGTCATCGGAACACGACTGTTCTCTTAAGAATCTAGGTGAATCAAAGAACTCAAAGTCCAACGACCCCAGTATGAATAGTCATGATGCTGAAAAGACGACTAATACTATCGACAGAAGTGCTTGGCGACGAAGGAGTTTCGAAAAGTTGGCTAAGTTCCGGCGTACGGCCGAAACAGAACTGAATGCAGCAAAATGCCGTGAGCGTGAAGTTAACGAAAATGCTGGACTAGTCAAAGACGGTCAGCATACCCTCGCATCTCCAAAACACAAAGACGAAGAAAAAGGAGGAGCTTGGATCAACCAAGAGGTACACTACAGCGATACGAGTGATCTCTTCAGCTTTAGAGAAACTGCTCAAAAAGTGGCATTACAATTTATCGATTGCACTCAGATCGACGCGTCTGAGGCTGAGAAACCCAAACATGACACAGATGCATCAGACAACGATGAAGAAATATTTAATTCGGTAGAAACGCCAATACAATATAAAAAACATAGAAAGTCCAGTGCTCAAATGATTCAAGCGAATGACTCGCAACGAAAACTGTGTAAAGCTTCTTCAGCCTTCAAGGAGTGCCAGCTGAACGGCTTTGAAACATCGACTGAATCCACAGAATGGGACGAAATAGCATCGCAGCCAAAAGAGTTCCGAAGTAACCCGGGACCGTCTGAGGAGGATGAATATGAACTGTTTAACTTCATGCAAACTCCGTCAAAAACTGAGATTCCGACAGTTTTATCAGAAAGTAGTCGTGATACTCTGAAGATGGCGGCGGTTGCGTGTCCACTAGAAACTGTAATAGATGACGACGATGATATTTTTAATGCTGTCACCACTCCTGAAAATAAATCTGGACCAAAAAATAGCCCAGTGTTCAGGATGAGTTCGGAACGAACTCTGAAGTCTAACACCTCAGAGGGCAGACTGGACTCATCATCTGCTAGAAATAAGGAATCACCCTCATACATTTTCAAGAACACTTCCACGTGTTCCAGTGTAAACCAGACCTGGCGTAGGAGAAGTTTTGCGAAACTGCTCAGGTTTAAATATGAAGCTGACGGGGAAAGTGATAAGGTTGAAACCGAAAAGATGACTTGTGAATATGATTCCTTATGCAGGCCTAGTGAGAACCTCGCGGTTCTAAGAAAAGATCAATCGCCAAGATCCGTAGGAGACAATTTAGCATCGGTGACGGGTATGAAACAGGAAGAAAGCAATGCAGTTCAAGTGGAGGCAACGCGGTCATCTCCGGCAGTCGTGAGTCGTGAAAAAATTTTGAAAACTTTGGAAAGATTCAAGGTGACGCCGTCACCGAAACGCAGGAAGGTTTTATCATAAAATGAGACTAGCTCATGTTTTTTTTTATATGAAAACAATTATATCGGATAAAGCTCCCCTGTTTTTTATTGTGCTAAGCAGTGCGGGTATGATATATATATATATATACGTCTGCGTCTAACTTGATAAAAAAAAAATATGGATAATGAAAGGTCGATTTGGTTCATGTGAGGTCTCAATATATTGTCCGGTTTTTAGCAAGTTGAGTTCGATGAAATGTTTATACGGCGGCTGAGCCTGAACTCTGGATTTATAAACGAGTATTCTTCTGCCTCAGAAGTCTGTCTGTGTGAAACGTTTATGCACAAAAATAAGTACAAGCAATATGCTGATCTAGACGAAAAAGATGTTCTTAGGTGGGATAAGAGTATAAGATTTCTCACAATTAGAATTCTTTGTGTGGATTTTATATAGTAGTGTGATGTATTTGTGAATTATGCAAAGAACTGAAGTGAGTGCACATAAAGATAAATATAAATTGGTCTATGAAGCCTATTTTCGGCACAGCTGTCGCTTCACACCTAAGAGAAACGGCTCACTAAGTGGACATTAACATTTTAATGCAAAAAATGTTGAAACAATAGTAAGTATAGAATAGAGATATTAAACACTTTGCTTCGGAATAAGTTTATTCAACGCTTGTCGAAAATATATATTTTGTCTTCTCTATAGGCCCTATCTTTAGATCATATGATTTACTATGACATTGTTGATCTATAACTCATATTGTGCTATAATGCAGTTAATGACATCATTATATTATTATATATCAGTGCTTAAAATAAATTCAAGACTCGATTAAAAAGCTGCGTTTTTATTCATTTTTCAGGATTTCGTGGACAGCTAACTCTATATTTCTAGTTGAATGATAGACTTCGTATCCTAGCATATAACTCAGAGGTGCTTGAAAACGGCAATACTAAAATTTCGCATCGCCTTTATATTATAGTCATTGTTGCAAAACTATACGTTTTGCGCAAAATGCACACAAACTTTTGGCTTTATTGTCTTTTAAGACGAATGTGTCGTTCATCAGCTACTTCAAGGTTGGCGACATTGTTAATTTTACTGTTCATATATAGTGTGATGCATGCGTACGTATTCTTGTCGTACAGGAAAAAAATCACAGTTCGATATTAAATGTTATAGCTTTATAAATATAATAGAAATATAATAATTTACTGTATTACCAAATTTGCAAGCTCAAGGCAGCACCAACTTGCATGTTCCCTGCCATATTATAACCGGGAGTCTTCTTGTTCGAAGTGCCCGGCGCTGCTGTCTATTTCATCTCGAATTTGGCAACCAAAAAGAATGCATTTGTTATATTCGATACATTACATCGTTTACAATCGTCTAAACTAACCGTAAGTTTCCAAGCTTGTAGTTGAGTAAGTATTTATACTTATATGACTATTTCCAAACGACGTGTTTATCCATTTCATCACTTTCATACTACGCATGCCGTTTTTGAGGCCTAAATGCAACTAGTTTTAATTCGCGATATCCGCTCTTTTCTTAAAGTGTTTGTTCTCAGGCAGTTGTATATTTACTGTCCTACTAAGTTCACTTGATATCTTTATTTCTTATCATACATTTTCTATATCCTAATTCGATGTTTTACTTTTATGTCACAACGGGTTGCAAGCGAATCAGACTTCGTATTCGGGATGATTCTATCTATTGACACGATGCGCTTTTCTTCAAAAGTGATGTTTGTAGGAACTTTGTTTGCGTTGTTAAGTACACAAGTTAAATGCACTAGAAAGCGCAAGAATACTTGACAAATGCGCTTTTTAGGACACCGCCGTAACTGCTACAAATTTACCTACCTTGAAAAGTAAAAAGTCTAATTTAGACAAGTTGATTAGTTAGGTGTGAACAACTCGTCTTCAGTAATTGTTTTTAGTGTTTAGCAAAGCGCAGCTTCGAACTTAATTCACCAGACTGCTAGTTAGGTTAGAGAGCAATATCACAGACACGAAACACCTGCTTCAATAGGCTACCAAAATTTTTCAAGTGGAACATAGATCTCAAGGCTTCCCTTTAGTCTAGTCATTTTCTATTCATTTTAATATTGAAATATTGCATTACAAATACTGGATAGATGACACCATGAACATGACACGTCAGTTTTGTATCATTGTACTAAGTAAGTAGGAAGACGCTGTGTATCAGATAAACATAAGATGAAATATCTGTATTAGATTTCGTATGATCTAATAAAAAAAGTTTAGAGGCAAGAAACACCACTACCGACCTATAACATCGTGGCACCAGCACCTATTTGAAAAAGTCTACCGTAAAATACAACATATGGATAAAAGTGGATCTCTGACTAACCAGAATTCAAATCTTCAATGTCGGAATCTTTTGAATTGTGATCTTAATAGAGTCTTCGGCGTCCGTGGCGTAGTATAAGGTATACGTCTGAAGACGCGATCTTGTTTGCTTCATCCAAGAGACGTAGCGTGCACATCTTACTCATGTCAGAGGCAAAAGCTAATGAGGCTAGCATCATCGGCGTTGGGTTCTACGTTATTCGTTGTTACCGTTGTCGCCTTTATCAAGTGCAGCAAGTGAAAAAAAAAGAAAAATTTCAGTGCATTGTGTGTCGAGAGCAGCAGCATGTTGACACGGCGCTATATCGAGGCCCGGCAAAGCGATGCCGAGAGGTACGAAGTTTTTGACTTTGTTTTCAAATCTAAAACCATTATGGGTTACTACGAATACAAACGTTCAATAATGTAAAGAATCAATGAATCTAAATAGTGCTAAAGAGAGGGTTAAACTGTAAAAGTTTTCTGGTTTCTATTTTTCACATATTTTAATATGTATGTGATAGTCAACGTGTACACCAAATATAGCCTGTCTTGTTTAGGAACATAAATCATAACCAGCCATTCGATGGAACATAGGCAGTACTGAAATATCCAATATCTACTACACTACATCGGCAATTAATTGTTTTTTGGATATGGAAACAAGGTAGGAAGTTTTTTAAGGATCATGACAAGGGGTAGATAGCTTAAACTAGTCTATCAAGGTGTAGTTTCCTACGGAGTTTTTACACTATGTCTACTATGAAACTTATAAAGATGTATTGCCCTTTCTATAGGTCGTTCAATATCTGAATAGGAAAAATTGCATTGGCTTCCTTAGTTTCACCTCCGCAACTGTGAGCCCTCACGCAACATCTGTTAGTCCTAAAGGATGTTTCTCTAATGGTTCCTTTTCCGATGTAAAAGGATGCTATGCGCGCCTTCAAAATTCTGTTGATGCTCAGGTTCCAAGCAAGGTAGGGCAGGAGAACATCGGAGAAGAACTCAACGAAAGTCTATCAACGCCTAGAATCTACAGATATTGCCGAAGCCAAGAAGATAAGTCAGAAAGATCCGCTAACAGGAGCAATGAAGACGAGCAAAGACCTCGAAAATAGCCATAGAAACACTTTCGTAAAAGCAAACGGGACGCAAAGATACGTGACGGAATAGAAACAAGTTCAGTCTGACAACAGAGATTAGGACTAAAATGTCAAATTAAAAAAAGCACGGATTTGAAATCTGATCGCTAATATATTTTGCTAATCTTAGTCAAAATAGCGTAACAAAATAGTGTGGGTTTCGATCGGGTTATATTAATTGTGTTTCGTTTTAAGCTAACCTTATCGTAGTAGCTGTATTCCCGCGTAGAATAGGCTCTGTACAGAGTCTTTGATCCAAAATCGATAAGTCTGATCGATCTGTGTGTGTGTATTTAGATTTAGTGCCGAAGAGTCCGACAGCGGATATTATCGACAGATAGATCAGATCAACAGTAGGCCTATAATACATTGTATGGCAATCCCGAGATACGGAAATCACCGAATTTTAGAGGGAGATCAAGATAAAATAGCCGTTCGAAATCTATATTTTGAATTAAACCTTATTTTACTCAATAATTGTAGAGCACTACGTTGTTTTGAGTTAAAACTGGCCGAAAACAAATAAAGATAATATACGTACAAAGCCTTGGACTGTATGATTGTTATGAATAATATGCAACAAAAAAGATGGTTGATTATATACGTGCAACACTCTTTCACGCTAGATAATTGAGGGTGAACGACTTGTAATTTTATTTATTTAATCGTTCATTGTTGGTTCATAAACTACGTTTATAAGTGTATGTAAGCAATGAGTGTGAACTGACTTGTTTAGCCGTTCATCGCATCGTTAATCTAGATTTTCTAGGTTTTTACCGAGTGGCTCTGTGACAGCAAAGATCGCTGCTTTCTAGTGATCTTTATCGCACATTCGCCCCCAGCCTCGGCTATACAGATCAGAAGGTCCTTCCACGGTTTCGAATTGCTACAATAGAACTGAGGCCGTGTAGATCCACTCAGAAATTCGCGTTCACTTGCTAGATGGCGGAGAAATAGCTTTAGTGAATAGTTTTTACTGATCTGGCTAATTTGCCAACGTTTCTTTTTAATTTTAGTTTATTCTCCCAAATTTGCCTCGTTTTTATTATTTAGCACTTTCACGCTCAACTACAATAACAGAACTTCCCCTAAGGCTTCTCACCTTTAACACTGCATGCTGCTAGAAACCAGGTACACGTAGTAGAAACTAATTACTGCATCTATCTCCGTACGTAAGTCGTTAATCTACGTAAGTGAAGTATCATTTCGTATGTGCGTAAATCATCATAGGTTAATAACTTAGCGTTTTTTATTTTACTTACTGTTTTCTTTACAGAGCCGAGTAGATGGCTTAAGTTGAACCGAGCTGAAGCCATTCGATGTATAGTTGTAGGCGAATAGTGTTTCTGCCGTTGCCCGCCACCGCCCGTATTATCATGTCGTATCTGTTATTACTGCAATGTTCGCCGCAAAGCCATATGTAGCTATCATAGGTTTTGCTGACTGTCGCCTTTGCTTGCATGGGGTGGGCCCTCACCAAGCGTCTCATCGACGTGGTTCCCTCTCTCGTAGTGCCCGAGCGGATCCGAAACGAATTCTTGTTGCAGATCAGATCTGTACTGGGTAGTTGTGCACGTGATGCTATAACGAGCGATACAAATAGTGTGCAATATACGGTCGCAATTATGATAGTAATGCCGCTGCTGCTGTTCCGAAAGCTAAAAACCAACAGCAAGTAAGACTGAGCTGAAAAAGACAGCACTAACACGCGACCATCAAGGCGTTTTCTGTATTAGCCGGCGTGTCAAGACGAGACGGACGCTCGAAAATCTGAAAGCATTGTGTGCTGGTGAAATGACGCGCGCGCCACAACAGCAACAAAAGATTAAACATAACGTAAGTGAAGTCTGAAGAAGATGATGAAAAGAAAGCCGTTAGGTGGCGACGACCGTACGAACATAGAACCTGTCACTGCTGACTTAATTCTACTCCGAGGGATTACCTGTTTCTGATTGTTGCTGGACTTCAAGGACATTTGGGAAATGAACGGTTCTACGTCGATTATAGTCGTTCTTCATTGCGTCACCCATAGGGAGACTAAGCATTATTTGAACGACAAATTCATTAGTAAGTGCTCAATAAATATTAAAACCTAAATGTTGGCTACAGATATGGTTATTTGTATGGTGAATATGTATATCCTAATTATGACATTATTGTCCGTCTCGAATAACTCGTTATGCCGTAATGAACCGATTATGATGAACGACGCGAAACTTCGCTTAAACTTACCTAATTATTTTCGCTTCGTATATGACGTTCTATCATAATGATTGTAGTGCTAGTACCGCGTATAGCAACAGTATCCAAAACAATCGTCGTACTCCGTTAGTAAAAGCTGCGACCGGAGACCAAGTTTTAAGCGCCCAAAGCAACAATTCGGTGCGAGCGCAGATTTCGATTCCCGTGAATAGTGGCTGCAAACAGCAACAATGGCTCAGTAGGAAGAGCTGCAACAAGTAAAGACCGATTCATGTGGCATGCATCTGGCTATACGCATGTGGCGGGTCGGAGTGGGAAGATATTCTGCTTTTAACTAAATTGCTTTATCTATTTCTCCATGAAGATTTTGGCAATTGCGGTCCTGTAGTGGTGTCGGTAAGTAAACGTTTAAATATTACCGTGATTATATATGTAGAAAGAAATCGTTATCGTTCTAGGTTCTACTTTTGGTTATATGAATCAACTGTATACAGTATATTGACGATCGGTCGAACGTTCAGAGAAATCATATTGTGATCTTCTAAGTCTGCGTCGCTTATTAACGTCGCCTAATAAAAACACGCAATTGACTGATTATCGGTATCATGTACTTCTACTGAGTTAGGAAGAGATTTTTATTCTACAGAATCCGTACTATTATCTAACGGGCATCGTATAGCTGCATTTGTCTCAGTGTTATGTTTGAATGAATGAAACCTAAGATATCTTGGCAGCATTAATGGACGAATATTAAAGGATAGGTACCGTAAGGAAATATTCCGAATACACTCAAAAGTATTGTACCCATTCATTTGAAATATCGATGCAGCTGTAACCCATAAATATTCATTTGGACGGACGAACGTGACTTTTCAGCAAGCAAAGAGTATATTTTGTAACACTTAATAGAAGAACACAGTTTTACGTAGTCATAATCACTTAATATATTGATTAATAGAAACACTATACAGATGGCAGGTTTGATAGGGCCATTAGAAAAGGCGTCCTCCGACACATTTCTAGCTAAATAGATCTATCGCTGTCTAAGATCTGTCTAGAAACATAGTGTCATGGACATTGGACTAACTTATCGAATTCTAAATTCGCGCAAATCAAATCAACCTTAGTAGCAATTATATTATGGTTTACTTGACCAGGGTGACAGTCTCATTATTATCGCCGTGAACTGCAAGAGAGCAATTCATAGCTAACTGACCATTTGGCCAGGGCTTAAACAACCTACAATATGCATTATGAAGCACATCCGTTTTGCCATTTGTGTCCGTGGGCGTGGGCGGTGTGGGCGTTGAGAAGCTCAACGAACCATTCGGTTGGCACTGTCAGGAAGTGCCAAGATTCCGCTGAACGCCGCGAATAATTGGCAACAATGTTCCCATTAAATTAATTTACCGGTACATGGTATTGATCTGGTCATTGTCGTATTGGGAAATATGTTGAGGTTTAACACCATCCACGGGAAAGCCAATGAGCTTTAGCGTTTGCACTCGATTGCCGATTAATTAGATACATGCTTTTATTTATTTTACATTTAATATCAGAAGTAGTTGTTTGCAAAATTGAATGATAATAAGTGCTTCGAAACTAACAATTAGTACATGGAAAGAATTGGACGATACTGGGTTGAAAATGTTTGTAGTTTCATGTTCGTACTTCTCCTAATAAAAACGATTGACGTCAGGGGAACTAACGATTTTAAATGTTTATTAAAATATTGGTGCTTGCCTACGTGTTGAGTGCAAAGATTAGTGCCGTAAATCTGCTAAATTTAGATAATCAATATAAATATATGCACTAGAAACGCGCCAAATTAGCTATGTTAGCGTATTATTGATATTGAAGCGGACAAAAAAATTATTATAATAATAACAATTACGTGTTTTGCTTAAATAAACAGCTTATTTTTTTAACGATGCATATCTAGGTGATAAACGTCCATCTATAAGTATTCCAATGGAAGACTGATCAGACGATCCAACTAGTCGGCATCGATAAGTATGCAAGGAGTTTAAATATGATAAAGACACTCTTATGTCACATGAGTGCCATTTTCTGTCGTGTGTGTAATCTAACAATTATAGGTAATCTATGTATGAGGTAGCGTAAGTCTAGTGTAAAAAGTCCAAGCGACTTAACATTACAAAGCTGCTACAGTGACGTCCTGGAAGATCCAGTGATGTAGTTCATAGAGAGTGACCAGCGGACATTACGTTAGAACATTTTTCGAAGCTGTCCTCAGGGAGGACAACGCAAAACTCCGCCCAAAATCTGTGACTCGACTGGCGATTGGGAATGCATTTATTTCTAGGGCGCCTCCTGATTGTAAATTACCATTACCTCGTTGGAAAATTGTATTTGACACCGTAATAAGATAGGCGGCGCAATTCCTTCGTCTTATTATTCGCCACTGTTTAACTTCAAATGATTACGTGGATTTTAAGGCAGAACGTTGAAGGTGACTAAACTGAAAAAGGAAGTAAATATAGTATGGCATGATTTGTTCCTTGAAGTTATTACTGAGGCATAAATACTAGTAACTTTATCAAAGTAATACATAACAGTTTGGAATAACTACGCATTGGAAAAGTTGTCATTCCGAACGACCCAATACATGGCACTGTTCATAAAAAAAAAAAGCTCATAAGGGTATTGTACGGGTCGAACGATAAAGTTCGGACGTCTGAAATCAACATCGATCTGAAGTAGCAGAAAGGTCTAAAACCCGCCTAAGCCCCTCTTCGCTTAAAAGTAAAACTTATCGTTTGATATGTGCATACAAAAGCCTGCGAATATATGACGTGCTGTGACGATACGAAATATATGGTATATTCGAACTATTACAATGATTCTACATACACATGATGTTGTCTTTTTTTCTCTCATAACTGTATGATTCACCCCGGTGAACTTACATTGCATATATAATTTCGTTAGTTACTTTCTATTATTGTTATTTCTATATTCTATTATATAAACTATTGCTATTACTTAATTCACAGCGAACGTTGATGTTGCCGACAAGCTGACGCTGTATAGATTCCTTTTAACACATCCACAAATCGCCTAACAATGTGAAGTTCACAATCAAAGAATGAGACTGTAAGTTTAGGGTCGGATGAACACTATAATAAGAAAAAAATACAACGAGAAAGTTGTTTACATTTGTTTACCTTTTACATTAGACGCACAATTTTTTTTCCAAAGTCTATCGTGCCGCTAGCGGCAACCAGGACGGTCCTAGGTAGCTGTAGTATAATAAAAGAGCTCTAGGCGAGGAATTACTCGCATATGTACATAGTTGTCTACTATAACCTACAGGACACGGAATGTTTAAAATAAGACTGTCCGTAAAAAGGTAAATTTTTGCCGTCCTTGCTACCTAAGAGGATTGCGTCTTTTCATTCATATTCCCTGTAGTGTCATACATTCTATTGCTAATCTGTGGCCTGGATCAAACTTGTAGAGTTTTCTCAAACTGATTTGAATATAGCTACATCTGCTCCATTTGACTCAAGTAGCGCTGTGGTAAGTTTCACCTATTACTTGTTAGACGTCCTCAATGATTTTTTTGCTACAGGATCATGGCCGTATCTCTCTGTGGCAATGGCTCAAAGACAAGCCTATTTATGCTTAATTTTTTCTTACATTGACAGGGCTCAATTACAGTGGTAAAATACCTTGAGTCCGATAGATAAAAGCCGATGTCTACCATTAGATAGAAACCCAATGTGGTCCACGGTCGTTTATTATGTGCCCAATGGCAGACAGACGTCGCTAAGTGAAATTTCATCATCCTATCTCCCAGCGTGTATCGATGTGCGGCTTTTAAGATCTAGATTTGTTGTGGGGTTCGAAGCTGGTGTCATTGGCACCATTGAATTGCTGCAGTTGAACTAGCATAGTGTTCATTCTAATTAGGAAAAGTGCAATAGCCTGGCTGTTACACTGCAAATGCGCTAGCGGAAACGAGTTCGTGTTTTTCTATTGTTGTTGCCCATAAAATAAAAGCATTATAATCGTATAGTTATATGTGACGTATGCGTGCACGAATATATTTGACCTGATAAAGCGGCAGGAACAGGATTGTTTCGATCAGATTTTTCATTCAAATTTAACAAAGGCGACCTTATTAAAAGCGTCTAATAAACATATCTGATGATCGAAAAATATATTTTCGATTATTCACGCATATTTCATATAATTGTACTTTGTACGACTGCGTATTCTAGCTAGACGCAACAAAGCAGCTTGAACAATTAATTCTAATAGACATATCAGCTCTGGACTGTCGTAGTGAGTTAAAAAAAATATATATCAAGCCATTAGTTGAATCGTGCTAACATCAAAGCCACTATTATCAGCTCAGTCCCAAATTTGAGGCGGGAGCTGGATAGGTGTTTTCGATATACTCAGTCATAGCATCTGGTGTTCCATAAAAATTTTCAAAAAAAAATTAAACACGGGAACCTTAAATACTGTTTATGCTATCCCGCAGTTACACCGTTTAAAAAAAACCGAGCATCGGCAAATGCTACGTAGCTTAGCACCTTATTTATATGTATGTTTATACATACATAGTGATAAATATAGTCTTTAGGTTCATATATCTTCAGCTTCAGCATAGGGTAACAGAAAACAGCAGGAAGGAAAGAAAGGAGTGCGTCAATTAATGGGTGTGTTAGGTATATTTTACGTAAGTGAAAGTTATCGCTGGTCAGTTTCTACGAAGCTCGCAACAGAGCGAGTCATGTGCCAAAATCCAACTTGCCATTTCCCTGCACGGTAAATGGCTTCGAATATAAGCACGGAGCAACTAGTAATAATAATGCCACTTCCTTTTCTTACCATAAAGGCAACGCTTAAACATACGTCCATTGTTAGCACTCTGTATATGTGTCATGACACTTTACCCCATTCCTCGTGTGAAAGCATACGACAGTATTATTTTTCTACTTAATCTGCCATGTTGAAATGTGAATTCAGCCTAAGGACAATTATCGGTCGTAAAGATGAATCATTGCTGGTCAAAAAAACATTCTGTTATAGCACTCTCAGAACCACAGGGCCATATACCTTGGCAATCGTCTAGCAAGTTAATCCTAAGGCGACAACACGTTTTACTATACTATTAGTATTACCATCATTAGGAGAGTGCCGCATAACGTGTAGCTTGTTAGCTAAAATCTTTGCTGAACACGTCGCAAGACAGAAGACCCAGATCACTACAGGATCAAGAATAGCATACACGTTTACGATTTTCAATTCAAGACAAATTGCAATACAAATCCAAACTTTGACCTTCAATCAACCTTTATCTCACTTCAAACATTATAAACGACCACGACCAGCTTCGAGGCTCTCGATTATTTTTTGTTTAATGTTCAATCACTTACCAGCCGACACATGCAGTTTCCTAATTTAGAAATGACAACCGTCAAATGCAGCCGTAGTAACTTTGTTACACAGAAACATCCACGAAAATCATTCTTCTATGCCGTACTTGCTGCGGGCTAGCTGTACCGTCGTACACGACGGTTGTTCTTAGTCAAAATCTCTCTGCTAAACGGCAATTCCCCATTCACCATTGCTGATTCAAGTGAGGTCGAGGGTAGATTTTGTGGCCGGCAGTTCAGCTCGGTCGACGCGTGGCCAAGTCCTCTGTACTGGCTAAACGTATTGGGCGTCCTGCGGACTGGGCCACGTTAGGTAAGTAGTAATGTTTGGCTATAAGGATGATGTAGAGGACTCTGCCGTCCGCTTCATACAGTGTTTACGTAAACGTTGTATTTATATCTGAACCTTTTTGCCGTTTGCTTGTGTGCTACAGTCTGTGGACGAGTCTTTACGTAGCTTGCTGCTGCTGCTGCTGCTGCTACTACCACCATTTTCGAAAGGTTTCTCATTGGCCGTACCGTTGTTAGCTCTATTTGAGCTGATCACTGCCATAAAAGTGTAATATTTTATACCTTTGAGTTGGGGAGGATTCGCTGTTCTCCGTTATTGGAAGCACTATTGCTGACTGTTCACTCGAAACAGGTTCGGTTCCCGTGAAAGACGGGTATACTGTGCCATTATTTCTCCATAACTGAATCGTACGAATATTGTCTATGTAGTTTTGTTACCCTTGTAACCGCTATTCAGTGAAGTATTAATGGTTAGTGGAGCCATTTGCTGCCAAACCGTCGCGGCTCTGTAGTCGTAATCATCGACTGTGCTTAAGACGTACCTCGATGTTCGACCTGCTTAAACAGTGAAGTGGAAGAAACGAAATAACATCTATCGAGGTTTAGAAATCGTTTCCGAAGATCCTGCTCGAAATGATATTTTTTAAAGAAAATGTATGCTTCTTTGAGATACGAGGAGGTAGGTTTAGCACTAGCAAAGCGACTATGTACATCAGTGATGGATAAAACCGAAACGACATTCTGCCGACTTTCCTCTACGATGAATTTACTGAGTGTTACGGCCCGAAACCACAAAAACTGTGCGACTTTTCGATAGGTTAATCTGGTAAACATCCAAAATAGAAGAAAGGATAGGTCTGAGAATAGACTTCCTGTGTCCTGCTCAATTTTAAATTGTCGCAAACTCCCATATAATTAAGTAAAGCTTGAAACTACTAAATTTCACTCAAATCGACTAAAAATGGATGCCTGGAATCAATCCGAATTTCATCCCAGCTACAGTTATGATGGTAAGTTAATTTACCTTTCGAATTCTTTATTCGAAGTTTTTCAGTGACTTGGCCAATAGCCAATGGCAGACCGAATAGTGACATCCTTCAGCACATATATATTACCCGATTATTAGGCGCGTTCAAATAGCAACATTAACTAGAAACGAATTTTGTCGAAGCATCTAATACTGCATTGAATTTCTGTACTATAACCCTTATAACAGCAAAGTTTGTGTGCAAGTAAACCATGCCTATTGTTTCAGTATTGGGATAGTAACGGTCGCTACGGTAGCCTTTGAGCTATTACCGGCGAAACTATACCTCTGCAGGATATGATCGAAAAAATGACGATATCTGAAAGTTGTTGTTATCACTGTTCTTTGCCGTCGGGATTCAGTCTGTCATACGCCCGGTCTAGAGGAAATGACATTATGCGCGTCTTTCAACCGAACGTTGATCACGTACAGCGATACTAATGAGCCTTAAGGCTGAGGTAACACGTCGAATCTGTGCGTGATTTTTCATAAGGAGCAGGTAGGGGATGGCAAGATATTTATCGGACAACTGAGTTGTGCAGTACAAGCAAATCAGGGATTTTCTGAAAGCTATGTTTTTGCCTGTGTTTATTGGAAGGAAATCGTTTATATATTAATGTTTGTTATAAAGCAGTTGTACAGAAGTTAGTGGCGTCCGTAATGATATTTCAAATGACCAATTATAATGAATCACTGACTATAGCTGAGAAAGTTGCTATTCATCATTATTACGAATAGAATAGGTTCGTTAAAGGTGGTCAGAGGTGGATTTTTATTTTGTCAATAGAGCTGTCTTTTAGAGGCAGCAACGCTTCGTGGTACAAACTCTTGTTTCTGTTTCATATTTCTATGCACCACATTGCGGCATTGTGTGCCAGCGTTTTTGAACTATAATTTGCTTATTAGGAAATATGCATTTTGTACTCATATACGTTACTAAAGTTGCTGGTTTAGTAAACGTACACGAATACCAACAAGGGTGATAGATAAGAAGTGAATTCAATTAGAAGTTGAAGCCGGCTGGTATTGCCTTTGAAAGATTCATCTTTAGTCTCTCTGTTTTTGTCGCAATGATCATTCCGTTTTTTAATAAATTGAGCTAGCAGTGATAAAGAAAAAAAAAAAACAAAAGAAGCTATTATTATGCGTCTGTGCCTAATACGTTGAAATCTACGTGGAGTTCAGAAGATGAAATAAAGTTACCCCTAAGTACCAGTGATTCAAATCCAAAACATTTTATATGCCAACCACTAAATGACACTAAATACCCATACAATATTTTTATGCAATACTTCAATCGATACCTTTATTGGTACTAATGGAATAATCACTGCATGTTACAATAATTTTAGTTGTATATAAAAACAAAGAGAAACGGCCAGTTTAGAACTTACGGGATTGGATCAGCTGCTTATTACATTCTATTAATTGTACGTATGAGAGAACGCAATGTTCTTGTGATATTAGACGCCATTCCAATCAGCTATATATGTGCTATATATATGCAGAGAAGCTATATATGAATTATAGAAACGAGTAAAAAAATCAATACGTTGATGTTCATCCCACATGTGTGCGTTGTCACGTTATCTATTACCTTTTTATCTCTGATCTACATCTGCTGGCATCATTTTTAATTGTACAGATAAACAATTGTTGAGACATGACCTAAATATGGAGTATATTCGATTTGTGTTCGCGTGATGGCGATCTGATCCTGATTGTTTCGATAGTCAGACATATTACCAATGGAAGGTAGACGGAACTGACTAATTGTTGTATCGCAAGTAGTATGTATTAAGTGGGAAGCTTTCCAGTGCAGCAATGGACGTTCGTTTGTTTCCAGTAAGCATATGTTCTCAGATGAAGGAAGGTTCATCTAAGTAATTAATTTACTTGGATTTTTTTAAATCAATACAGTCTTGATTAAGTCGATACTCTGCACTAACTCATATTATTTTAATCAATTTTTTTTTACCATACTCGACACAACAGGAATGATAAGGTAGTATGTGTACAGTAAGCTAGCAATAATAGTATTTTTTTTTTCAAAATATTGCTTCTTCGTTCGTTTGGCAAATTCTTTGCTCTCGCATGTCAAATTGCGCCAACGATTTCAGTTAAGGTAATCTAGAGTTTAAAAAACTAGTACGTAGATGCAATTTTGTAGATCCCTCATCTCACTAGCGGAAGGACATGCCTCGACGATCCCAGGTAAGCCGGTTTATTGTTATGATCTTGCGTTCCCTTTAGAATAGGTGAAATACGTGCCTACAATAGGAGTTGTGTTCGCCGTTAAATGGCACGGAATCAGGAAGTTTACCGCTCAGCTTTGTAGAGGTGCATACAGATAAAGCTATTGCACCCGGAACAGCTTTTTGACAGGAATCGTGGGTCACGAATGGTATCTCAATATAATATACCATGTTAATTACTAACAATAATATCATCTTTTTTGTGTCTCTTGCGATACAGATATGACTATGTAAGTTTAAATAGTTTAAAAATAACTAATTTATTAATAATATACATACATACATAATAATAACAAACCGTCACAGGACAAAAAAAAAGAATGATACATTTCGCAACGAAATAAATGATCATATAGTTACAAATAATTGAATTATACCACGTCTGCCTAACTTTTCTCCTAACGTTGGGCTCATATTATTGGCCCTGCATCGTGGGAACGTCTGAATGTATGACCGTTCTACAAAATAAATAAGTTACTATTAGACATTCCAATACCACAGAGTATTCCACTCAACGCAGTTAGAACAAATCGCATTGAAAGGGGTTCATGTAAAGTTATACGGTAATTTGTGTTCCATTATGCCTATAGAAGAGCTTATATATGCGGTCAGACGTCATGTTCTCCCTTAAAAGTGCGTTGCGCAGAACATCAGTACCGCAACCCTACCAGCGTCTGCATCGCTAGTCATAATATACATACAATCTAAATATATGTTTACCTAACGAATAAGTCTGCATTAAATAAGAGACCAATAGCATTGAGAGGGAGGCCCATAGTATATTTTCGTAATAATCGTTACTTTGTCGCAAGGTACGGGGTCCGACCACAAAGATTAAACAATTTCAGTGATGAATTACATGTATCTAGAATTGACTGTTTATTTTGGCCGTCGACCAGGTATTTTGGAAATAGTAGAGGCAAAAGTGAAATAGGCTACGATACAGCAAGGGAAGATGGAGGTATTTTTGTGACCATATATTAGCCGCGTAGTTTTGTCACTCGGACAAAGTTAAGGCAACAGATTTGAGACGACAAATAAAAGCTTCTAAGAGTAAATATCGGCAGATCTTATTATGACCGTATAAGATAATACTTGTATAGCATTTCAAAACTAGCAAAGTACGATTGGTAAGGGAATTCAAGATGAAACGTGGAGAAAACACAGGTAAGTAACTCATGACGTAGGCGCCAAACGAAGGCACAGATTCTATTTTTTGAAAAAAAAAACGCCGTTTTTAGCAAATAGTTCCCATCATCGTTACCGTAAAAAATGTGAGAATGTAAAATATACGAGTATCCGTGATAGCTATTTCGCTGTAGTAGTTTCTATGGTCGGTGATATTAGCGTCTGTAAAGCACGTTTGTTGGTTTACTAAATTTCCAATGCTATAAAAGGATTTTAATGAATTGGAATTAACAAATGAAAGTGGAACCGCCTATCACATAGAGCGACTCTTCTTCCAACATACGCATATTCAATAATATAACAGAATTGTTCGTTTGTTTTCAGCTCCCTCGTGGTCCCGACCCCAATACTTTAGAATGAAGAGCACATCGAAGCTTTATCGTCGTCTGACGTCCAGGTAACATTATTCTCTAGCCTTCAAGTTATCTTCTAGAGTAGCAGCAGCAGCAACAAGAGATGCCCGTATATTTTGTACCAAAATTATGTTATTGAAGAAATAGACTGCCTTCATTCAAACAACGTGATTTTCATACTAAATCAACGTATAGATCCTTTATGCCCGCCACTTAAGCCGTTCTTAGTATCCTCTCCGCTCGATTTCGAATGTTGGGCATAATACGGTATGCGAAAAAGTTTCGTCGGGCCGACCGATGTCTTCACCCTCCATGGGCAGCATGTGACTCGGATACCTTTAAGCATTTCCAGTCAGTCCAGCTCGGTCATAATATGAAGTAGATACATTTACGGTACCGCTTTGTTTGCCACTTCAACGTAGTTTTATTGTTCAATCGGTAATTTGCAACTGTTGAATACGTCTAATGGTTATGCTAAGTAATTCATCATAGGAGCATAGTCCTTCAAAATTGGTAATCGTTTGTCAACCGTCTTTTTCTTATGCTCAAACCCGTCTTTTTCTTATGCTCAAACAAAAAAAGATGTCTTTAATCTCCGTTTAACAAGACTTACTCACAACGTTTGTTTCCGTGTAGTGAAGAACTAATCCTTAATTATCCATCAACCCGCCATTTTGCCAGAGACCAATTACGTGCGAATCGTCTAACTTTTTTTTTTATTTTCTCACTTCAGAGAGCGGCCTGCGTTGTCGCCTCAATGGAGCCTTGACGTCGCCGATATTGGCAGAACGAGCCCGAGAACTAGGAAACGACGTTCGAAAAAAATCGAAGAGGAAGACGAACTGGTAAGGACTAGACTACCGGTAAATAGGTCTATGCGCCCCGTCATAACCCCGGACCAGCTTTAGGCACAATATCTCTTAAATGTTTATTATTTTTTTGCTTACCGTGTCGTACGGACAAATTCATTTCATCGACTATACACAAACACATTTATTTCCGTTCATCTTAATCACTGGCCAAACCTATTTCAAGACTAGGATTTTTTTTTAGTCCAAACTGCTATTGTTTGATTTTGCGAAATTTTACGTGATTTAGTTGTTTTATTGTTGGTGCCAAAAGGTCATTAAAGGCTTGAACAGATCGTAAATGAAATGACGTATCAAGAGGAGGTTACAATATTCACGCACTTTGACATATATCAAACAGTAAAACTCACTGAGTTGGCATTGATGGCCTGATACCTACTGGAATTATACAATAATTATCATCTTTAAGTATCAGGTAGAAAATCGAATTCGAGACCGTATAGTTTTAAGTCCTATGCTTTACACACTGTACCACTAAGTTAAGACGATCTGACGGTATTTCAAAGAACGAATTCATTCTACTTGATGGGTTCGAAACTTCACCCGAGCGGTAGAAAAACAACATCACAATAACATTTATTTCAAATTGAAACTAGTCCACGTACGTGGTAGCCTGCGTAACGCAAATAGGCATCAAGCTAATGAAGGGTAGCATAATAGCTAAGATTTATTGTTTCTAGTACGAAATCCACTCCTGTGATTTTAGGATTAAAATCCCAAGAGTGGATTTCGAAGTTTAGTGAGTTATTACGCCAAAAAAATCCAAAACAAATGATTGATACATGCATCTCGTTTGTAGTGCAATTCAGTCCCTTTGGAAGAAACTGAAACAGCCCCAACATGCATGCACTTACCAAGAACTGAAAGCAGCTAGTTATAAGGGTCTAGGCAAAATAATAGTGTTCTTAAAAAAAAAGGTTGCCTTTTGCGTGCCTTAACCTGCTTCATAACCTATTTTACAATAATGCCCATTAAGTTTCTCATCGCTGATTTGTCGTTACATTACGTCGTTACGTGTCGTTACGATTAGAGGTATATCGGAAAATTCAAATGATCAATAACTGTAATATAGTATGTTTAAATGTAATGTTCTTCGTGTAAATGCGCTCTTATTTATGCATACTATTTATACACGTTTTATGGTCGTCTTGCCGCTGGTTGACACTATATTAATGTCCCATTAAACCTCACTACATTTAGGACACGTTATGTGTAAATTTTAATCGAGCGCTGGAATCTACCGCACCAGCGGCAATTTTTGAAGATAACTGATATCTACTGAGGTACTGATGCATCGAAACATTGATGATCATTGATGAGAACTGGAACACCATCGAACGTGCAACATTCCAGTGCAGGAGTTCTATGGATATATCTCTGGCTATGGCGAATAGTATCACTGCCGTTAGATTAATTTCTTAATAGATCGTTGGATTTGGTGGGTTCGACCATTATGAAGTGATGTCTTTCCGACCGAAAACATTAGCTTAAACTTGTGGCTTGACTTGATGAGAGAATGTTAACGTTAATATATACTAAGGTGAGCCCTATTATGCCTATAGCTACTACGGCGGTTTATTACGTTGAATAATACAATCAACCTGCTGGTTAAAGATTCGCCTGGATGTCGTTTGAAACGTTTTAGGACCTATTTCTATAAGCTGCTTATCGTAATTTACATTTCTTTACTAGGACCTTGAAACAAAGGACCTTATTTCAAAACATTCTTGTCGAACAATTTGTCAAGCTGCATAAGATTGTATTCAATAAATAAAGGCAGCACTAAGCTCCCTGCCGAGAGAGATGAGATTACGGAGGTGCAAACTCGCATTCAGAGGCACTCGTCATACAGCGTAGTCTATAGCGACCAAAAAACGTGGTTTATCAGGTGATATCCTACTACTCATCGTGTAACAGGTAGATTTATCCCATTGAAGAATTACCTGTCACAATTTCGTAAGCGGCCTACTTGAGCAGAATAGACCTAACGATAAAGTTTTGTCTATCAAATTTACCTATCTTACCAAATCAAAAGGATACAGACGCAAGGTCCGCTTTGTGCCGAAAGAAGCTAGCAGCCATCTAAAGCAATGTTGAGTTTATTTTATGGGGAGGTTTCAGAAATGCGTGATGCAAACGCGTGGCTCACACTCATGGCTGACGGTGTTTATAATAAACAACCCTTCACTAAAAACGAAAAATAGATCGTAGTGTAAAAATCGAAACACGCAAGCTGGATCATTTAAACGTTTGAGATCTCAATTACTCACGCATGCACTTATTGTTGTATAAGTGCAGTTACAAAAGGTTTTTTAAACCTAACCATTGCGAAGTGGACAGTCATCAGAGAAGATTGCACCAAACATCAGCAAGTGAACAAAAGTAAGACCATGTAAACATGTAACAACGACAATTACTCCACCCTAGAAAATTCGTCGGTTGAATTCTCCACTGCCGATATGTTCACATGGACCCGAATAGAAAACCACGGTTCGTCTATCGTAGGAATTCTCGTATGACTAAAAAAAATTTTTTTTTTTTAGTGCAAACATTTAATCTACTATAGTTATAATGACTAAGTTTCGTTCGATAAAGATAGTTCGTTCGTTCAATTTGATTGTGACATCAAATATTAAGAAAAAGCAAAATGCAACAACTTCTCTAATACATGTATTCCAGTTAATAAAGCTAACCAGAAAGTTTTTATTTACATTCAGGACACATGTCCTCGATGGACCTTCTTTATTTACATGGAACATTTTTTTAATTACTTGTTTATATTCCAGAGTTTGATCCTGTTGGTTTTCAAACTGAATTTAGTTTATTGATCAGGGCCTTTGTACAGGGACTAATTTTTCTAGTTTAAGAGTAACCGAATTTGTCATAGTGCAGTTTCTGATCAGCTCTACAAATAGCCTACTCTAGCGTATTGAAAGCGGCCAATCTTTTGGTTTACATTAAACGTAAGATTCTACACTGTTTCCAAATCCATTCGGCGGAATAATTTTAAATTCAATAAGTCTCCAACCACTAAATACGTAAAATATTAATATGAATATCTACAATTAGGGTCGTTTGATCTGTGGCGCGCTCCGCTTACCTAAAATGAGCGTTTCGTCAATCAACTGTTTCTTGGATCAACTGTCGGTGTTTAGTGCCTGTCGTTTTTCGACGTTTACGGTTAGGTGGCGCCCTCTGTGACGAGTGGCGAAAGCCGCCGACGAATCACAGAGAGGTTGGAGTTAGCTAGGCGCCGGAAGGGTCAAAGAAAGCGGACTCACAACAAACAGCTGAAGGAAGACTCTGATGAGGGTGTTTAGCTGCGACATTGCTTGCCAACCGGCGAGCCAACTGACCCTCTCAGCGCCACTGTGTCCGTCGGTACGGCCAATGAATTGTTCGCACCCGGACGCCAGTGTTTTTTCTGAAAACTCTTCCTAACGGTCATTAAATGATTCATATTCATCAGCTGCGTGTCTCATTTTATACACCTACTGCTTCTATACATACTACTCTATTTCTGCGATCCCTATTTGTTCGTAATGCTGTGGTCAGTATGACGTGAACGTGAGAATTTGTCGTTGAGATGTTCGTGTCTATCGGTATGAATGTGCGCGGGTACCGATTGAAGCCTACGCGACTTGCCTTCGATAAACTGGTAAAAGTCACACCGATAAGGTTCTAGTTCCAGCAATAATAGTGAGCAGCTGCAGCTATCGCGTCGGTAAATTGTATTCTAGTGTTATGACGGGGTCGACGAGCAGCGACTGTGCTTTTTTCTTATTCCCGTAGCCACTTGTCGCCTGTCCGAAATAGTTGCACGCCGACTGGCGGCTGGATGCCGCTGGCGCCTAGGGGAATGCTTCAACGTAGCGAAATCACATAGACGACCGAATGATGCCAACTGTTGCAAGCAAAAATGACCGAAACGCAAAGAGATGCTAACGACGTTGCCTCGAACAGCAATAACAACAAAACAGAAAAAATAACAGCAGCAATCGTCATTGCTAACAAGCGGGTTTGACCAGTGAAGGGCGGCCCCTTTCGACAGACCGATAGAGCGGATGCAGCTACGGCGATCTTACCGTTAGTAGCATAGCATAGAATAAGCGGGCTGGTCGTAGTGACTAAGGCGGGGTTCTGTTTGAGACACTGCATTTCTAATGACGTCTATTGCTATAGTGGCATAACAATCCTCCCCAGACAAACAATCACAGCACACAGTAATATACGCAAATACACTGAGACTGATGTCAAGTCGCGACAATCCCGATAACACTGGCTGTGTTTAACAACAAACTGACTGGAAAAACGGAAAATAACTTGACGTGTGCAATAAACGAATCACGCGTGAATCGTGCCAGAATACGACGACGTGACGAAATTTGTTCTAGTTATGTACTAACCTTAACTGAAGAAACGGCACAAAGGAACATTTTCGAGGTTCGTGATTTCGTTTCGAAGGACAGGCACGGTTCGACACTCGTTCTGTGGTTGAAGTTACCATGAAGTAGCGATCAGTGACCCCTCGGTTGTAGTGCGTTCCGTGAAGTGCGAACAGTTTATGTTGATTGGTTTAAACAAAGAGGAATAAACAGCTGTTAACAAGTAAGAAGATAGCAAGATGTTCGTTCGACGTCGCAACCGCCCCAGGAGCACGGGCACCCGGACTCCCAGGGGGTTGTCGTTACTGTCCCGCCTTGGTTTTCGAGCACTGCCTCAGGAAGATCAAGTTGACTCCCTGATGCCCGATGAAGTTACCGTAAGCATCCGTTAGTTGTTTTTCTAAATACGAACAAAGACACCACAACAGCAGCAATGAACTCATTATCAGCTCTATTACAGCGGTCTTTTCCCTTAGCGTGCCTTCAGTAAATGTGTATTCGACCTAGTTATCACTAATGGTGTTTGTCTGCAACACCTATTCCACCGTACTTTTTTTTATTAAAAGCTATAAATTATTAATTGTTTCCTTTGCAAACGAACAAAGAGACTACTGTAAGTGTTACCTCTAGTGATGCCGGCAAAAATCTGTCGAATCGGCACTGAGAGTTTCCTTCCCAGCCCTTGCCAACTTCTCTCGCTTCACCATAAAGAACGAGAGTAGTCAACTCAATAGTCAGGTGCTTACCAGTGGCAAACTGCCCCGTTGGGCTATTTACCCGAGTGTACGATGGCTCCGAGCGCATTCATAACAATGGAATAGTTTCGTGTTGCGCTTCAGTTACTGCTTGAAAATGTTCGGCTGTGTTAAAAGCGCACGCTATAAAAAAGGCGACTGTCGAAGCAGACTTTGCAGTTCGTGTAGTCGCTCTTAGTCAATGTTATCCGGAACGTCTACGGTTTAGTGTAGGAGACGACGGCTTACCGTAGAGACAACTCGTCCTTGGAAAAGTTCATTTCGCAGAGGCTAGGTTGAATCAATCGGTCGATCATCAATCGTACTTCTGAATCGATTTTGTGAATGGATCACACTCTAAAATAACAGAGCTGGTGTGCTTGCTCTTGTCTGTCATTAGTTATTGTCTTTGTTCTTTCTACCATTTCCGATACGTGCATCGTGGACAAATCCCGCTCAAAAAGTGTGCGTGAATTTCTGCGACGGGTCGACGTGTTAAATTTGTTTACGTGTTTCGAAACGAGGTAACCGTGAAAGAAGCTTTGACAGAGAGAACAATGATTCGAACACGTAGGAAGAGGTCGCTGGACAAAGGCGTCAAAAAATCACAAATCTCACCTCTACTGGTTGGTAATACTATAATGGCATGTGATCGAAGAGTCACACGGCCATAGGCGGCACGTGGCCCACAATGCGGCACAGCAATCGAATTTGTTGGTGGTTTTTTTTTTTTTTTTGTTTTTACGGCTCCCAACGCCAGCTTCAATGAGCACATGCTTTTCCTGCACTTTGCCTTTCGCGCTCACCACTGCCACGACTAAGGTCTGTTTCGTGCTTAATGAAGTAATTATCGTAAACGATGGTTAAATCGGGCGCTTCAAACGAAAAATTTTATTTATGAAAGTGCAATTAAAGGCTTAAAGCAATATTCTGTTTTTACCTTTCCAGTCATAGTGACTGCTTCAACAAAATCATCAAGCCTAAGGGCTCCAACGGTAATCTGACAAATCATGTATCAGAACGAGCATTAATGATTCATCTGTAGAAAGCTGCCTCAACTGAATGAAGCTCTAGATACGTGCGATATAGCAAGGCGACGTGGGATAAGGGGCACGTACATTGCAATTTTTTTCCAAATCAGCTCTTCCGTGCGGCTTATCAGCTTGATAATAATAAAATTAACAATAACAGGCGAGATATTTGGCAGCCGCTCTCTGCTTTTCATACAGGGGCAGAAGAACGGCTATCAGTCATTTGTGTCGAAATCTACCCGAACTTCTATGTAAATTCAGTGACTCCTTTGAGTCATCAGACGAAATGGCTTTTTAGCGTGAGCCATCCAGAAAACGGTTTTCCCAAAACGAACTCATAACTATATTAATTAGAAATTTTCGTCGGTTTTCAAGTACGATCAACTCTTTCGGACACTCCGGTGTATTCGCTCATCGCTTTTAATGATAGCTATCGATTCATTTCTCAGATCACCCGAAGGTTAAACTTCACACCCGAATGCGGCGTGGTATTACATGAGAAACTGCAATCGACCGAGAATTGCTGTAGATGAATGTACACATCGAAAAAAATCATACATATATATTTTGTCTATAAACTATCTAGAGATCACAATCTGATGCAGTTACCTCCTTGGTACGCTGTTTTATCAATGCCCCGATATCGTAATATGGGCTCCTGATAAAGCAACAGAGTTAGCACTGATATGATACTGGTCAGCTCGAATTGTCCTGCCAAGGTCTGATAAGGAACAACATCGGAGGTAAGCAAGATTACCTGCAGTCAAATCGGTCGTATGCACAGCGGGTGTTTCCAATACACTGAATTTTTCAGGTAGCTATAAAACTATCTATACACATACATCGAATGCTACGTTGGCCGACCGCCGCCTGCTAAAACGTCTCAATGAGAAACAGGTCAACTGAATGGTTGGCGTTGGGATATCTAATTGTGTGCAGTTTGAATGCTCAGCGGGATGCCAGTTCGGCAGACATTTTAATGAGTTATTTTTTGGAACTAACTCTGTATACTACAGGGGGCTTTTCTAGTTCTTTGAAAATTGCCCGCGCGTTATTTTACAGCGTTGTTATGCATAGGAATAACGTTGCTTTATAAAGATTGCCGCGCGCATCTATCTGTAGGACTGTAAGCATTACTGCCCCTTTTTTCCACACCATACAAAACGAACGGTAACATATCAATGTCTCGCTTTTGTTGAAAACAGAATTGGCTCTGTTAATAACAGTTATCACGGTTTAGAGCAACACCTCAGGACTATGAAGGGCACTTACCTGATTTTCAACAAGCATACTCTTACCTTACTTGCTTGCAAACAACAAACTTTTAGAATTTCTCTTCTGTTATAAATAGTGTGGGTTAATCTGCTCGTTTTAGAGTCTTTTAGGGCGTTTGTTGCTGTGACAGTGAAGTGTGATGAGCTTCGATGAGGAAAAGGCTTTGAGTAATCCCCGGTTGAAAACACCCTTTCAAAAAAGTCTCAAGGTGTTTTCTGTGCGACTGGCCTCGTGGCCGCTTGTACATCGGCATCGTTGACTGTAACGATAGGCACCTATCAAGATACGAGACTTAGTTCTCGTTGTTTTCGTTCCATTTGCAGCAGATTAGGCAGCAGACTCTCTAAAGACTAAAGGAGTTGAATGATAGATACAAACAAACAGATTCTATCCAGTTCCAAGCTCTCTCGGAACGCAAAAGCAGCAGCTAAAATGAGTTAAGGACACATCATTTTTCATAATTGACATTATTTAAGAATTCCTGCAAATGGCCGAGTGCCTAGATGCTTGAGGTGTTCAAGATAAAGATCTAGAAGATTTATCTGACATATAAAAATAGTCCTCTCTCCAAGGACAGCGCTGTTTGCTACGTTCAGCTGCTCAAATATTAAACAGGAACTACTGCCGGGTGCCACACTTATTTTATTAGCGAACTTTTGTGAGTCGTCCTTGTTGGTCCAAGATTTACTTATAGCCTGGGCTGATTGAAAAAACGTCTCGGGTTGGCAAAAATCATAGAAGTCCAATTCATACTTATTGTTTTAATCTGAATGATACTAATAGATGTGAAATCGTTGCGAGAAATAAGCATATTCAAATTCAATTAAAACGAAAATAAGACTTCTATATGGGTTATTTGGACGTCAATTTCTCTTAACTGAAGTGATTAGGATCCACTTTATCTGTATAATTGAAAAATAATAGTAACACTGTAGTTGATCTCTAGAATTGTACCACTCGTATTTCTAAATTGTGATATTTATCGTGGCCTATCGACGTTAAGGCCTTAATTCGGTTTAGGGTCTATTTAAATGCCAAACTACGTATTTATCAAAGCTCATAGTATATTTTGTCACCCTTCTTTGCACTGCGTTAGCTGTAGACGTGCCGGGTAGCTAAAAACTATATCAAACTATTTGTTTAGTGCCAATGAATCAAAAACGGTCAATATGAATCAAAGAAGATCGATAAAAAAAACCGAGTCATATAGGCTCGATTTTTTTCTTCTCTGTAGCACTCTCAAGACATGTTGTGACTTCGCGATGTTTCACGCATGCAACGTCATTTGTAAGATAAGCTTATGACATTCACCGCTATTCTTGCCTTGGTAATTTATATATAGATTTATTAGAGAGCTCTGTTTGCTAATATGAGCAGTTCTTCGATCGTCCCAACTCCAATTCGTAGGACCTACGCTAAGACTGTTGTGGATGTTCCATGTTAATTGCTTATGCATGAGAGATTTTAGCGAAAAAAACCAATTTGCATTGCATATATTTACCAGACATTGTTTTTCTTTGTTTGATTTGTTCCCTCATTCATCGGACCTGCTGCTGCGGCTGTCACGAACTTTTTGTGCTCTCCGGTGGACTGGTCTTGCCCCAACGAAATTCGCCGTTAACTGATCCTTACGCGCTCTTCAATACGGCTCCACCCGTGCTTTCGTACCGTGGCGACGAAAAACGGTTCTACCTGTCGCTATCGTTGCTGTTGTAATAACGGTTTGCAGTCGGATGTGACAGCGGTACCATTGATAAATTTAAATACAGTCATTCCAGCACCGGAACCCCTCGAATTGTCTTCCCACTATTTGATCAACAGAGCTAATGCGCACTTCTTCAAATGCTTCGCCTTCGAGGCAGAAAGTCGACCATTTATCGTCGTTCGTCACGACGTTAACGCCGAAGATGTCACAAGTGTTATGCAAACGGACTGGCGTTTCGTAGGTACGTAGAAAACTGTGCAATCGAAGGCAACAGCTTCGTCCGCGCATGGAGGCCAAAACATCGGTTTTAGGCAAACGTTGATATCTGGAGAGTATCGTATTGACTGGAGAGTATCGTACGTTATTAATTTATATCATCAATTAAATTATTTGTTACCGTAAAATTAATTTACCCACAACGTGACGTTTTTAATCCGGGCATTCAAGAGATGAAGAAATATCGTAAATGGTTACGAAAACTGTTTAATCGATATCCAAAATTTAGTGAAATTATAAAAACGTTTGTGGCACAGATCGAATTTATAAGTTCAGTCAGAAAATATACACCTAGGCACACCGTCGATGTGGCAGTACGATCGGATTGAGCCCCCTTAATCACTGTTTTGCCCTAATTTCCTACACCACCTTTATATAGTTCAGTAAAGGCAAAAGTTCGTTCAGATTCAATCAGTCTCTCTATATGATTAATATTAGTTTTAGCGGCATTTCAATTTTTTCTTACTTAACTGTGTCATTCTGTATAACGAAAGTGAATTCTTACGTGTTTAGTCAATACTGAGTAAAAAAAATTATCAATATGCAGTACTAGAGACTAATCAGTAAAAAGTCAGATAAAGCCAATCATCATACTACGGAACAACCAGTAGAACCTTGGACAGTAAATTTGACTATAATAACCATCTTTACGGTTGTTTTTTAAGATTTAGTGTGCTGGTTTTAAATATAATAGCTTGCATTGGGTTCTCCTCATTATTATGCTATACTCATCGCTAGGCCAAGAATTCTATTGATTTTCATTTTGCTTCGTTCAAGACCGCAGTGACCTTTCTGTGCAGCTCCCCTTGGCATCGGTTCACTATGTCTTGCGTAATAAACATAGTTTAAATACTTTTGGGACCTAAGACAATAATCAGAGGTAACGGCGAGCAGAATATATACTGATGGTATAAATTCGCTACCGCTATACTTTACAATATAGCTGTTTTCTATGGAAAACCTTACTAAGAGGACACCTTAAGCCTATGGATCAATGTGTCAGAACTTTGTAGTACGCGCTCTGCCCATTATCATAAGAGACAGACATGGACACTAAGGTATATTTTTTTTTCGCGTATTACTAGTTTTATTTACAAAGCATTGGTACGTTTGCTTCAATAGACAGCGTACGTTGCGGTACGGTATGTGCTACTATTATCTTACAAGGTGGCTAAATGTAGCCTATATCTATCTCCATTCATTTTTGTGTGATTTCTTTTCATTGTGAAGGAGCGAACAATTGCAAGGCTCTTTTGCAGTGGAAGGACTAAGTTTGCTGCAGTGACTAAGAAGAAGGCCATTTGTTATTATTCCGATTATCATTATCATTTTTATTGAAATATTAAATTCTATTGTCCGTTCTCTACTCAGTATCATTCAGCTTTACTGTACGTTTTAGGTCTAGGGAATATTAAACTATCATACTTATAGCCTTTATGTTCGGTTACGAATTTTAAAAGAGGAAGTTCTGACGAACCGGACAGTCAGGGATTCGAGGCGAGGGTAGTCACGACTGAGGTTGCGTCATCATTGCTGAGACTATCATGTCACTCGAGGGACAGCTGGGAGTTTCTGTGGCAGATGAAAATCCGCTGATCACTGATGTAGCTATACACTCAAGAGTGCCTGTTCGATGCCTTAAACGCAGGAAGCCAAGAACCACAAAATAGTCTACAGATCTATTTATACTGAGCACATTTGGTACTGTCACGTAGCAGCACTTATAGCTTTTCGAATTGGTAAACCTTAATGGGGTACGCGTAACCTGCAATACGGAAACATAACCGTATCGCCGTTGTGGAAGTATCTACCTTTAATATCAATTAACTTTGGGATTAAATCAAACAAAGAAACGACGACTACTTTGCAGGTTTATTCTTCTAAGTACAGCGGTTGATTTCCCCATGATGAGCAGCAGTGAGGACATTAGGCAAATATTAAACGGGTTGTAAGATCTAATCTGTTCGAACCATGCACTGTCAATTTACTCCATAAATCGCTGTCCTATAACAATGAAACAAAACAGGAAGTTAACACATGGTATAGACTTGTATTTTTATTGTGATATACATTAGGGAATTTGGTACATTCTATTTTCTAGTTCCACGAATTGCACTCTTCCTCGTCTCAGACGTGGGCCCTATGGCCGAGTGGTCACAGCCTCGCCAACTCGACGCCTTCAAATGCGGCCTCATCAAGGCAGCCAACACAACCCACATGTGGATTTTCACTAACGGGCTTAACACCGGGATCGCTCAGGAGATTGGGGACGCTGTCGCTGAGGAACTGAGTCGACGGCGTGCAAAAAGATGTCACAAACACCCCGCGCGGAAAAAGCAGCATAAACCACCGCTCACTCTGGTGCGTAAAACTATCAAACTAAATTAGTATTTTTTCATTGTATATATAAAGTAAAACCAAATTCCTAGTGTTATATACTTTCATCATATATATATATACCCAGAGTATGGACATACACTACCACTTGATGGTCCTAAAAGCTGAATGTTTGCTTAATATGAATCTATGAATAGCTACACTGGAAAGTTATAAGAATGTCATGCACCAGTATTCGAAGTAAATACTTTCCCTTCCGGTTGGAGTGCGCGGAAATGTAAGCGTCTTATAATATAGGAATACAAAAAGAAACGTAAGATTAATTTTGACAGGAACCCCGTTCACTTGATAGCGTCTCTTTACTGATTATATTACACAAGTAAAGCTAGTTTATTATATAACAACGGCCTTTCTACAACTTCTTAATGTCTACATACTGTCCCTATATACAAGGACTGTTGCGTTGTTTATGCGTGCCGTGGCACGTTCTATACAATTCCCCGACCACCTACCAATGAACGGGCATATAATTTGTAAAACCAACGGAGGCACTGTTAACTTGTTTGTATCGTATTGACGTTTGTAGATATATACCGAAGAGCGCAATTTGCAAACTAACATTGCTAAAATGACGTATGTCAGAGTCCACTATTAAGCTAAAGAAAGACATATTTACGACGTACCCTTGACAAATGGAATCTGGCGAGGCAGACGATATGTTAATGAAATGCGGCTCCAAATCAGTTGATGTAACATGTCTCATGAATCGTATCCGTGATAATGCAGCGGTAACGTGTTTGTCTGCTCAATTTTTTATTTTTGAGCTATTTTTGCTACCGATTAGCTATGTTCTCAAGACGATCTCTTTAAATATGTTTTTTTTTTTTTTTTTTTAAATATAGCTTTTCTCGAACTAGGAATTTCAATTTATGGATTATTTCCAATAGACCTATGGCAACCTTACGAGGAGCTACTAGCATTAATGATACTAATAATCATTTAATTTCATTGATTGCTATTTTTTTTCTTTTTTTTCCTAGCTATAATTTTCTAGTAAACATTTTTGCCAGCGATGAGAGTTGAACAAGCATGACTACATTCCCGACATTAAATGCTTATCATGGCTACGCAGTCTAGAAGATCACCCAGACCACGGCACGGGCTAGAATTAAGAACACGTAAGGTCGAGTGAGCACATACTTCGTTTTGTGCTGGGAAGGGCCAAGCTTTTGAAGCAATTCCTAACGGCAATAATTTGAAATTTTTATTTAAAAATACGTATACTAATTTTTTCACATCACATTGAGTCTAGTGAGTGATCGCCTTTGAGTGTCTCTAAGTTTTATTCCCTTAAGAACTCCCTGATTTGAGGGTTACCCCCTAAAGTTCGTCTATGGCATTCGTAGCTAGCTTAGTGTTACCTTTTGAATATCGACAAAGCTTTCTGTTATAGCTGTTTGCTGCGTGCGAAAGTTCTTAAAGTGGCATCGAGTGGCCATCGACTGCGGAGCTTCAGCGATGTCCTGCATCTCTGATCGACGTCCTCCGCCAGACCATCAAGTTGGCTAGGATCTATACATGTAACACAATATCATATCCTTTAACGACAATAACTTATTGTAAATTAATATCACAGTTTCGATAACGAAAGATACACTGGTTGTATTCCATTTTCATTATTCGGACTGATTTTTTTAACCATACCTCATTAACTGTATACTGGTAGAGGTCGTCTATCAAACCTAAAGAGTGCATATTTAGCTTCCATGGACAAAAAATCTGGCCAGTAAAGCTATGATATTAATATAGAACCACCTAATTATTTTACCATTTTTCATTTCAGGTGGGTCTTGCGCGAGAAGATTTGATTTTAGGTGCTGAACGATTTACAAATTCTGATGGTAGTGACGTGAACATTCAGGTTGATGCGAACAAACCTGAGGAGCAAAGGTTCGAGCTCAATCCTGATCATACACACTATATCATCGTTCGAGATGACACGGTCCACAAAACTGGCATCAATCAATATACTCTTCGCTTCGAAAGGTCTGCATTTAAGTGTTTCTATTATATTTTTTTTATCGCAGTTCGGATCCTATCGGGTGGTGGCAAATAGACCGAACCATTATTTCAGGTTTTCATGTGGCGCAATCACAGCTCCGGTAAAAGCTTAACATCCTATGAAGACTGCAATGAGTGACTTAAACTTTTTGTGTCCTTGACCGACTCTCGGCCTGAAGTGCCTGATTCCTGCCGGCACTGGAAGCCAAAAGCCACCGATGACTACTTCGAAAGCTGTGAGGTGCGCGCGCTTGGCTTTTGCAGCCACACAACCACTGATTTACTCTTCTGTTTTCAATGACGAAGTGAGCATTCGAACGAGGGTGGATGGGTAGGGCTTGCTCCTAAAGTCGATCGAACACCCCAGATAGGCAAGAATCTTGACAGGCTTTGCTTAGGACGATCAATTTTGTTTGTCAGAAAAAACCCAGAGGCAATGCATAAGATTATGGAACTTTTAAGTCGATAATTCTGAACATAATAGCCGCTTAGGTAAAGCCAATCGTATCAAAGTGTAAATACTTACGTCTAGCCAACCGTAAGAAGAGAAAAGTTAGAAAAAGTACGCATTAATAAGGCACCGCAGAAGAATGACAAACTGCTCGATATCAGAATTTCGGTGCTGCATCCGTATTCTTTGAGCAGTTAAGTAAATAAATGAATTAGCGCCGCGTTCAATGACTACGTCTGGCACGTTGACCACTTAAACTCGATCAGTGTGTTTCACGCTCTTATATCTTTTCCCTTCTAAAACTATATATATATATATATATATATATATATATATATATAATGTGTAGCAGTTTTTTATAACGCGCTTGAGTCATGGCAAACACTAGAAAAATCTGTCTTTAATCAGACTAAGTGTTTTGTTACTAATACATTATTTGACTCTTCAGTTAATGTAACTAGGGCAGCAGAATTTAGAATATCCTAGAATAATTTAGAATCGGAAAAATTTTTGCTACTGGGTAGATCCCATTTAAAAAGCTAAAAAACACGATGGCAGTTATTTGGTGGGTAATCGATGCACTAATGTTTCGCTTCCTCTGGTGTCATCGTAGCCTGTCCTGGCCCAACGCAAGAAATGACTGACCAGTGCTGTATCCTTGGCGCGAATATTTATGTCCTTCTAGGGTCCTAGCCTGTCTCGGAGCTCGAAAGACCGAGGATGCTACTACAGTTGAAACGCATCGGAAGGTTGCGCGTCAGGCATCAGCGATCTCTATGCAGCTTCCACTTGTCGCTGTTCTAATACAGGGAGATTTCCAATCCGCCAAGTTTATCTTTGATCGATTACAGAAAGAGCTTCCGATACTCGTGTTCGAGGGCACTGGAGGTTTGGCTAACCTAATTGCTTTTGTATACAACGAAGTTCAGCGTAGGTGAGTTACTCATAACTATATATACATATATATATATATATATAGTTGTGCATCATAAAGTGTAAAACGAAGTGTTAAATTGTTATTGCTATAAGATGTGAACGATCCACCAAACACTGATTGTGATAATAATACGTTCTCTATAATACAGTTTTTTGATACAGCTACCACAGTGACGTCATTAGCAAGCTGAGCATAACCGAGAAGCATTTATTTCATCTGTACATTTGTTTATAATATCACATCCGTTCTTTTAGGGCCCCTAACGTGTGGGACGCTGAATTCATCGAGGAATTCGTAAAGCCGGAGTTGACTGCGATGATTTGCGCACAGCAACCGATGTACTCGGAACAGACGCAGGCGAGAAATGCATATAGGGACAGGATACTCGAAATTGTGCGACTTGCTTGCCACAAACAGCAGGGAGCTCACCTGACGGTTGTACATACAAGAAACCGATCGTGTGATCTAGAGAAATTAGACCAGGTTCTTCTGAAAGCTCTATTTAAATGTAAGTTCTCCTCGCTGTTTCTATGACGTTTATCCCGTGTACAAAAAACACAGTCGGAAAAATCGAGACATTTTGTAAGCTTTTTAGAAGATTTACCAGCGGTTTTTAGCAGTTGTGTGTAGAGTATTACACAGATTAGGTTACTATTACTATACTATTATAACTAAAATGGTTTTACTTTATACAAAAAATACTGCTATCTCAAGTATTTCTATGTCCTCTACACAGCTCAACGGGCAGAACAAACAGTGTGGTATTCCCAGCTAAAAAAGGATCTTCAGCTAACAATTGACTGGAACAGCCCGAAGGTGGCGTTAGTCGAAGTATTTCAAAAAGACTCATCGAATAAGTTTCAAGTCGATTCAGGAATCTTCATGGAAGCGCTACTAAGGGAGGACCGTGAAGAGTTCATTGACATATTTCTCCGAAGGCAGTTCCAGTTAAGCAAGTTTCTGTCAAAGGGGCGACTAAAACTCATTTTCCAGAAAGTCCTATCAGAAGATTTCTTCTTCCTGGTCTGTTGGATGGGCGCCCTAGGAAATACTGTGAGTTAGAATACACTATCGGTTTTTCCCCTTTGAAATTTTTCTCGTAGTTGGAAATAACGACAAAATAAACGTGACAATAAAATAATAACATCATACAAAACCAAATAATTTCTATTTACAGTACTTGATATTTTAAAAGTATTTTTCTTGTCACCGACCTTAAGTTAGGGATCTGGATACCCTCTTTGGTTAATTTTTATGGTCTAAATTAGTATAAGTGATTAAACTGGTTTCCTTTGTTATCTTTATATTATATTATATGCGAAATAGAATTTGGCACGTAAGAGACGTTCCCGTTACTCACGTTTTACCGTGATGGAAAGAGTCAGTAGCACTTTTGTCAGCTTTATGAGTACGCGGCAGTATGACTTTCTCAAATTTTTCAGTGACGAATGGAGTGCATCTTTTGACTCTACAGTGCAGCATCTTGCACTACGCCTCGTATTAGTCAATTTATCTGAAATAGTTGAATGCATCTATATATATATATATTATGATATGATGTTGACAATAACAGAATTTTGTTCCACGTCGCCACTTGACACGGTGGCATCAACCTGAGGAAAACTACGTTAAAACTATCTGAGAGACTGTGGTACATTGGCAGCACTTTTGTTTACGTTTCAGTCCTATCGTGTATCCGACGACTTCATCGAAGCCGATCTCAACTGGCTAATTGAACTGTGTACAGGCCTCCCAGATTATGTCAGCTCTGAGCACCTGTCGATGGCAGCAGCTGGTATGTGTACCGGAGACGAAACCCAGGCTGAACGAAAAGCCCTTGTGATACTTGCTCTTTGGGCTGTTTTTACTCACCGAAGGTAACTCGAAACCAATACAATTACCCAAAATTTAGAAAACAACGCGAAATCCATGCACATTTTTGCATTTGTCTCGTTGCTGTCCTGATCTCTAGTACCCAGCGAATTGAATCCTACCCGACTTCATTAGCTATGTGCTTTGGGAAAGTCATCTGTAGAAACACCAAAAACGTAGTGTTACTGCAACGTGTTTGCGTCTCGCATTCATGACTGCAGTGAGCGTTTTTATATTTGTCATTTTTTGCCGTATTTTTTGTCGATCATCACAGAAAATTAACGAAGATTCTATGGAAGCACTCTGAACAGCCTATTCATTTGGCGCTCATTATCTCAACGGCGTACGCTCGTTTAATGGACTACGCACGGGACCCCGCTGCAAAAGCAGAGTTGGAGGAGTCATCGAGAGAATTTTCTGAGATCGCCACTGGCATTCTGGACCTGTCTTGGGCTACGGATGCGGGCTGTCGCGCGTACGACATCTTGTCTGAAGAAAGCTCTGACTGGAACGAGAAGACCGCAGTGGAATTGGCTGCCCAAGGCAAGAACATGATGTTTTTGGCGCATCCATGCTGCCAGAAGTGGATCACCAACCTGTTTATGGGTCGAATCACTGTACGCGATATGTGTTGGGGCATCTGCACGTTCCCACAGTTTGTCAAAATACAACTCTGCGCGTTTTTCATCCTGCCTATGTATCTGTTCATTCGATTCAAGGATGACCCCCACCAAATGGAATACAAACCGGAAATTGGTGCGTAGTGATTTCAGATGGGATGCGGTCATCGTATTAATTTACTCGTTGGTCCTTAAAGCAATGTTGAAACGCTACCACCATAGTCTGTCGTAGAAGACATATAAGAATCAACTATGGGAAGGCGTTATGTAAATAGCAGGCTCTGTATCGCATAACACGAAGCTCCTAAAGGGATCTCCTATTGGGTAGTTTCGCCTGCGCTTCCGTCAGAGGTGTTTTAGTCTTTAGTTAGCTACAATCTATATACAATTTGTTTTTCAACAGACGAAGACGATGAAGATTTCGACTTTGTCGATGAAGCTCCGGTACTTACAAAGGAGAGAGTAGCTCGGGATATAATTCATAGCAAGGCGCGAGCGATGTCACTATTTTTGAAGCAACGCAAGCAGGAACGTGAAAACGAAAATTTCCCGCCACTTTGGAAAATGATTTACCTCATGTGGAGTGCGCCTATCACCAAATTCTGGACGTTTCAGGTTGGCCGCACATGAAACACTATAACGCATGAGACACAGAGAAAAATCAAATAAAAAATTGGTCTTGTTCAAATCTAGTTATCGACATGTTAGACAGCATGACAGCAATGAAACAATTATGGAAATTATATTTTTTAATTTATGTTGCATGATCGTCCTGTCCTCTATAGATCGTTCAGAAAATTACGCAACTGCATAAAGATAGTAGAATGCGTTCCTATTAAGATAACTGTAATTTAGCAATAGTTTGCGTTGGTACACACAGACACATATTTATATCTGCACAGTTATGGTAGAGTACAAAGATATGGCCAGTGGGCAGAATGTCAAGCACTGGAGTTGCGGGTTACCCCGGAATGTCATGCAAAATTAAGCAACGATCAAGCCAACGATTTTTTATTGCGTCTCTGTCTGTTGTGTTTTAGATGTTTTATATTCTCTACCTACTATTGTTTTCTGTCGCTGTATTGTTACCGTCATGTGGATATCAGCCTCTTGACCTGGCTGTTTGCATCTGGACATTTTTAATAGCCGTCGAAACATGTCGGAGAACTTATGTATCGCACCAGGTTAGTATCACACGTTCTCAGATCCGCATATCATATTGTATGGTGCTGCTTCGGCTTTAAGTATCGTTAAACGAACTGAGGATTTTTAATGCTCTAAATTTTAAGACAGGAGGCTGTATTCAATCTGCTAGACATTTAGATAGATCATAGTTGCATCTAACAAACACTTTAACATCTGATGTTAGACATATGGTCGATTTGCAGCTTGTACAGCCACGTATACCGCGTCTACCATAGATGAGTAGTAAATCCGTCAACTGGTAGTGTAATGCAGTATCAGCTGAAACTAGAAAATGTTCGAGAAAAAAATTTTGTCAACTATGATACTATATGCTATAACTCGATGCAGGTGCAAACCAACAGCTTCTTTTTTTTTTTTTTTTATCCTGTTCTTCTCTGTGCTTCGATATAGCAATACAAAAGGGTTCCATTAGCGCTTCGTTGTTTCGAGATTCTCTTCATGTTTGGACTGGTGGGACTCTATGGATGGAGTAGGGTGCTGAAAAGGACGGATATCCTGAGCCCATACTCAGCTAAGGTTCTCCAGTGCTTCGGATTACTGTATTCATATTATAGGCAAATTTTCATCTATCTACCCATATCACCTACCCTCGGACCGCTCCTATACCGAATTAAATATATGGTTCGTTACGGTTCGATCACACTACTTACTAATTAAGTGACATTTTTCATAGTTGTTTTCTTTATGATCTCTTTTTTTTTGTATACCCAGCTCCTGGTAGACGAGCTTTTTGAACATATTGCTATCTTTCTTAACTCGAAACTAATATGATCATCCGTTTGTATGTAGCCGATTGGTAGAGCCGATTTTTTTGATTGCGTCAAGTATTTTGCATATAGTAAGTACATAGGTCATATGTACACATAAGCCTATGGTGGCTCCGCTGTGGTAATAAAAATGCTGAACTTTTTCCGCCACCCTGACTATAGGTGTCAGAAGATTTCATCAACTTCATGCGTATGGCTTTGCTCGTAATGATTAGTGGCGGAATCGCGGTTCAGGCTATGATGTACCCGGATCATCCATGGAACTGGAACTTAGCCCGAATGACGGTCTACCGGGCTGTATTCTCACTCTTTCTGACTCCCGTTACCGAGCTAGGCGACTTTAAGCCAGCCGCGTGTCCAAGACTCGACAGGTCTGAGTTTGATGATGAATGCCTTGCCGTCGGACCGTGTGAGTAAAAAAAAACATTCGAAACAATTCTCTCCTATTTTCTTTTACCTAAGAAAATTCACGATTTCCACCTATTCATTTTGACGGGTCAAGTTATATTCGCTTGTTGTGTAGGTCTATCAAGTTATCGTAGTATCTCTCTAGCAGTTTGACTTGTCGCTGTCGTTGGGTGCTATATATTTTTGTCCGCCGGAACTGTGATGATGCTCAATTGCGAAACCTTGTGCCGCATTTATTGCCCTTGGTGTCGTGTACAAAACAAGAGAATGCTCACGTATAAGCGATGCTTGTCGTCTTCTGCTAATGTCACGCGGCTTTCAACCACCATTTTATGAGAATTGCTTCCGAGCCGTCGGTTTATCGGTTAGAATTTGCATGATTACCTTCTATGACCTCCTCTTTTCTTTCTTTTTTCTGGCTTTCTCTCTTTTCTGTATCAAACTTTCTCTGTTCCTATCTAATGTTCCAGTCGTTAATGCCACAGACAGCAATCATCTTTGCCCGCTAAAGGGCTTCTGGACTTACGCCTTCAGTATCCAGTACCTGATCCTGCTCAAGATAATTCTGATGACCCTACTTTATGCTCTGTTCAGGTAAGGGTTCTGCAAAAAGAATGATGCAGTTTGCTCCCGATGCAGACTGGCAAAGGTTAAATTCTAAGTCGTTCGGCTCGGAAATATTTAGTGCTTATGGTCATTATTTACATGGTATGAGGGTATGAATGTGCCAGGACAAATACGCTGTGTGGTATTTTCGTTCCGAGCTGTTAGCTCCAAAACAAACAGAGGTAACTGTTAGGCAGAATCAAAATCGATCATTTAAATTCATTCAAATATTCAATAACGCACAAGCAGTGTTTTATTTATTTTAAAGGTTTAATATTTAATTTAAGAGGACGGATAGACGTGTGGCATTTCACTAACTGCCGTTCGTTCATCATCACTCATCTACAGTAACACTGCTCGACGCATTGAAGCGGCTTCGGATAACATTTGGAAGTTTCAACGTTACCAGCTCGTAATCGACTTCAAAAATCGGCTATGTCTCCCGCCGCCGCTGAACATAATCTCATACATCCTAGTGTTGCTAGATCTGACTATCGGAAATCTCTTTCGTTTGATAAAAAAGTGTTGCTGTACTCGTAAAGACGATGACAGCGGTCTTCTGCCACTTCCGGTAATGCCGGCTGGCACAACGGGTAAGGACAGTAGCTTCGAGTACTGGCGCCAAATATCGCAGGATTATTGGGCCGCCCGTGAAGAAAGCGAACTTGAGGAGAAACGCAATAAAGAAGAACTTGAACGCCAACAAAAAGTTCTCGACGAAGTTGACAATCATCGGGCGCAGCTCGCATCGATGCGTGCCGAAATGAAGGTATGTTGCAATAAGTACTTCAGTTTATTTCTCCCATAGCACTGTATCATTCTTTGATGGTTGAATCTGAAAAGAAATTTGTTTTAGATCCTAAGTGCTTTAAACACGGGTTTGTCAAAATGTTTCATCCTGACAAACGTCCGAGGCTTGACGTTTATAGAAATTCATAATAACAATAGCAAGTATAATATTCATCTTCTGTTGTGCTGAATGGCAATTATCCCGTTGGGAAAGGATTTTCGACAGAACATTTCAGCATGTAGTTGTTTCGTTTTCTTAACACTTGCTGAACGTTAGTATATACCCATCTTATATGCAGCCTTTTGTGCTCGTATTTGAAAATATAGGTGTTTCGTCTTGGATTTTGGCCTGAAGTCCTCATAGCTTCCGACTTTAAAGTCCTATGGATTTTATCACACGCCGTCAATTAACCTGTACCTAGTATTACAGAGCTGCAATATACTTACGACTTAAGTATGTATTTTTGTGTTTTCTTGCTTTGAAAAAGGAGCTAAATCGGCTCATGCTTCAAACACGCAATTACCTCGCCGAAGTCAAGCATTCAGCTCAAGCGCAGTCGGTGGTCGATGGTGTAGGAACACCCGGAGCACCAGACGCTGCTCGGCAGGCCCACTTCCTTGCCAAGAGTTCCCCGTATCCCGCTACGAAGGTCCTGCGTTTCCCCGTCCCGGACAAATATGTACCTTGGGAGGTCATGTGGTTGGACTACGATCCAATTGTATTCACCAAGCCCAGCAACTGTTTCTCTGCAGAGCTGCAACCATATATTGACGAAGATGTTTTACAGTGGGTAGCTTGTTATTCTGACACGGTTAAAGGAAATAATAATTCCAACGAACCTGTTTATCTCAGCTGAATAATGAACTCTGAGTCGATCATCACGTCGTACGGAATCTAAACACACTGATATAATATGATACACATCGACAATTAATTATATAGCCAATATAGTCTTGAGCTTTCGGAGTCAAATCGAGAAAAGTCAATTTGTCGCTATTTCTATGTCCAGCAGTCTGCATACGTAGTCATAATGGTCTGCTATACGCATCTAATCCAAGACATTCCATTTTCCTGCCGGTGTGTACACAACTCACTTTACAGACTGAAATTTGAAAACCAGCGGGTGCCAAAATATCAGTGGAATGGCGTGTTTATAAGCCCTGCCGGAATCATAACCGATCGTAAGTCATGGATAGTCGAAGCGAGTCAATCCGTCATCTATTTACTCGAACCCGAGGGTGTCCCACGTAACCCGTACGGCCGAACTGGTTTGCGTGGTAAAGGGGGTCTGTGTCGTTGGGGGCCTAACCATTTCGTGCTTTTCGTTATCTCGCGTTGGCAGACCTCACGAGTGCATCTAGTGGGTGGTAAAGGTCTTGAGGTGGCACTGATGCGTGCTACTCGCGGAGGCCATTATTCGCTCCCAGGTGACTTCGTGCCGGGCGAAGATCTGTATGTTTCGCTCGCAACATTTTTCAAATCCACCGACGAAGTTACCCTTAAGTATCCCAAGGAGCAGGAACACATCAAAGGAGTGAGTGCTGAGTGCGCCTACTTTTTGATATTTTTATGCACTGAAATTATTATACATTATTGTCGAGTACCTATTTTGCGGAATTAATAGGCTGAACAATTCATTTGATGCGTTCAAACGTTCGGATAGGAAATGTATTTGAAACCCAACAATTTCTGTCGTTTCGACAGAACGGTTTCATAAAGTGAGTGTGTGAGATGATAGTAATTGCGCTTAGTGGTTTTTGTTTCGAATCCAGTTCTTCCAGTCGATGATACGACAGAGTACAAGTGTCACTGGAACACCAACGTCAGAAACGACGCCAACTCCTACTGAAGATCGCGTGCGTGTGGAAATAGTGGATAAGGGTTATATGGATGACCCTCTTAACACCGATAATTGCTGGAAGGAAGTTGAACTTTGGAGTGTGCATTATACACCAGAGTCAAACGAAAATATCAGTGTAGGTATCATCGGAGAACAACCTTGCAACGCTGCTAAGTTGTGTCGAAATAATGTAACTGTAAAGAGATAATAATAATAATAACTATTATATTCAGTAAAACTTTATGTGTGAAGTTTTCTCCATAGAAAGAAAGAAAGAACTCTATGGAGTTCTTTCTTTCTTTCTATGCGAGTTCAAACTCGCATATTTGAGGTACAGTATTGACGATTAGTAGCGGTTTTCCGTCTATTGAACCGCGTAGTCACGACGAGCCCTGACGTATCCCTTCGAACTTATCTTCATTCAATCGTTCCTATCTTTCACATGTGAAGATCCAAACGTAGTCTTAATTGTCTATATACAACAGCATTGTGTGATCAGTGACTGTAGCTACTATTATATCGTAATGTCATCCACTAATGCGTTAAGAATAAAGGTCACACGTTTTATGAAGTCACTTACAGCATTGAGCCACTAAAGCTTCGTCCAATAACAAAAACATTCAGACATAGGCTGCTTGTACACAAATTGCGATTTATGCTTTTTGGCAATTATAAGCTTGTTGTTCTTCCTTAGATAACACCTCTACGCGTGTGTTCGTTTTTCAGGCGCATTTTGATAAGGCGCTCGCATGGCACCTCGTAACGGAGGACCTATTCCCGAAGATACACTCAGGTCAGGCTGCCCTACTCTCCAAAGTCGTCAAGCAAGTCAGTAACAGCCCGCTTCCCTAATTATTGGACGTCTGCTAAAATTGAATTAAACAGCATCACCGGGTTTCCTATCGCCATGCCGTTACTGTTATACGCATTGTTTGATCAAGGTACCAATCTATCAGGTATTGGCAAGGGAACCGTCGCCTAATGGGGCAATATTTTTTACGCTTAGCGTCTACATACTGTTCTAGTAGATTCTTGATTCTACCTGGCAACTCGAATGATCATAACTTCCTTCATAACTGACGCCATGAATTCGGTTCAACTATACATCAGCAGTTACACAAAAGGTCAACAGGTCAAAATCGGGCGCTATCGTTTCGCCCTACTCTGACCGTTTTGTTCGTCCAAGTTCAAACTTGTGGTCAATCGACTACCTCGCCTCGACGAAGTGTTCCATCGATGGGGACAACTAAAGACGGGCGGAATATGCTCTATGGCTCGACAGCAACGTTATTTTTACTGCCTCCTGGAATCAAGCCAGCTTTTTCAAAAACTTAGTAGCGTTATTCAGATAAGCATACCGGGGTTACTCGTTGGTAGCGCTGATTAACCTAGTTGAACTAATCTAATTGCCGGTGGCACGCTATGACAGAAAGACATAAATGTAACTATTCACTTGCTTGATATATATCAAACAACTGATTAAAGTAGGTCGATGAACTCGTCTTTGCGGAGTTAGTTTTACCGAGGTTATTATAGAGAGTTCACGTTAGCATTCGACAGTGCAGTCAAAAAAACATATAATGCTATCATAATGTGCTACCCAGTGCTTCGAAATCAGTTTCGTGGTAAATGACCAGACTACACTATCCATGTGGTGGAGACGTGCTCAGAGGAAGGCGCAAAATCACTGATGCATCGACATGTCTAATATTGGGTAGTACCGGCTATAAGAACGCAAAGATCTATAACAAATGCCAGCTATACATTTTGCAGAGAACCAAACAGTTTAGAATCCAATTGCTATAAGGATGGAAAATAACAAACGTGGGTTCGCAAATGTACACATGTAGACAGACAGAGATACCTTTTTAGAAAATTATATCAGCGATAAAGCCCTGCTGAAATATCGATGAGCAAAGGGTAGTTTTTTATCAAGTATGATCGAGTGGTTACTGCTCGTGAGTATGTATGTTACTGAAAAAAATGTCTTTCAGTATTACCAGGAAGAGAGAGGAGAAATTCACAACTTAGATATACACGTAGACGCTTCCTGATGTGTCTATTAAGATGTACATATTATTAGTGAACAAATCAATACGGGACGATGCTTCGAAATATTGATTCGTAGCGATAGAGTTTAGGGCTGTTTATCGATCTGATGTTATTTTTTTGCCTGTTTGTTCTTTTCCTTTTGCCATCATCACTAATAGGACCGTCTCACGAAACTTTAATTATAAATATAAAATAAAAAAATTAATCAATGTAGATCAACTCATGTACCAAAATAAATGACATCGCTCTTACTTAATCAATTGTTTAGATGACTGCATGAGTTACACTCCAATAATTGATGAAATCCGAGATAGCAATTGCCTTAATGAATCCTTCAGAAGAATTTAATATCGAAGATAAGTAAGTTAAGTGTAGGGGCTTGAACAACTCCTCCTCCTCCTCCTCCTGAATTTCTATTCGAACTTGCATTAGTGAGTCCCATAGAGCGTTGATGTGATGGACGTGGGGTGGGCCGAGGAGCTGGTTTCAACTCATCGAAATCATGATTGCCATCTAGATTATGTAAATTCATATTGCGATGCTGTCTACGTTGCAGTAATAATCCAGTACCATTTTGTGAAGCAATAAACTAGATTTTTCGTTGTTTTCAAAAGTATTTCATATAGTAATTATTTCTCCGCTTCCGGTCGTTTTCGTTCCAGTCGGGATTCTCTAGCGATGGACCACAATGCTTGCTGGCTATTTGATAAATTAAATATTTTATTCTTAGATGTTTGTTCCCTAAGCCTAGAAGTTATTCTCGTAAATTACGTATTTTCAAAGGGGTAGCTGTTGAGAAGGCTAGCCGTGGAAGCAAGTGCGGTGCATTCTCCGCTGAACGTTGAGAAAGAAGAGAAGCTCAATTTTTTTTTACGAGCATTACTGCTTTACCGATAATAAATCACCCGCAACGTTTATTCCGTACCGAAAGCCGAATTACATTTTAGTGATACATGGTTTATTTATTGACGGAACGGGCTGCAGTTCGATTTAGCTAGCAAGTCTTTAAGTTTAAACTTAAGTTGTCGAACAGCGGAAAAGCTACCAAGAGAAGTTCCAGGTTAATAATCTCGCATATTAACCCAATAAATCGCGCTACCGTTAATGCTTAAGCTTTACAAGTATTTGCTTCTGGCTTTTGCATATATTCTAGCAATTTTAACGGCCGGAGCCCGAAGCTAAATGGTCTTTTTTACTTTAAGCATGTTCTGTAGGCCGAGTAAGTTAGCGTGCAGTCAACCAGTGCCCTATAAAATCTAAAAGAAATGGGTGGTCGTAGCCAAATACGTTCCTTAAAAAACATTATATAAAGAATTACATGCTTATTCGAGAAAGTGTCATGCCTCTCCAAATACAAATCCTTGGACGATAAATAAATATGGGGCCTTCAACTTATACTCTAGTTTCATCACAGTAACTTGCTAGATAGTTAACTGGAATCTTTGAGCAGCATAAAGGATAAGGCTTCAATCTACTGCACAATGCAAAATTTTATTTCGCTGGAATATATCTGTTAGAGTGGTTTTTGTCAACGGAACGATAAAGAATCACTAAATCCGATTGAATTGAATGTACATACTGTCAAACTGACGTATGTACATGCACACGTATATTGTCCTGTTAGTTGATATTGTGGCGTGATCTGTCCTAATGCACAAAGGTCAATAAGCTTCATAAGTTGGTCGATGTTCGTTAACTGTCGTGTTATTGTGGTTTTTGAGTTGACATTATTTTACATCATAGAACTCAAGTTGCGCAATGCTCATCTTCCTTTTACAACTGTGATCTTAGCTATTCTTTCTTTATCTGTACGGAAATAATGGTAACATTACACATGTCGTGACATGATTTTCCTGAAATCAATTTGATCAAAAACTGTTCCTAAGCGCAATTAATAACAGTTAGATAACTTGTTACAGGCAAGTTACAGATACGAATGGTTAAACGTGAATTGTCGGAAAAGAATAGACTCGAAAACGGTTATTCAGTCGTTGCTCCTAAGTAAGTTAGAAGTGACCAAAAAAGTAGTTGCATTTTATGAGATACTTCATGCCTGTTTGAAATTACCGCGCATATTTTGTCGGCTGCATACCCTAGAAGCTAATAGATTACATAACACCGTGTAGAACAACAGTATATAGCACACTGTCGGTAGAGAGATGAATGGAGGGGAAATGTATTGTATGATGCAATCTTAATATAATATATTTCTACTCTATACATCATCCAATCCTTTGCACTTTCCGTAAGAGCAACGGTTCAACTAAACAAAAAAAAAAACGATCGTTGTTACAACTTTCATGAAACAACTATATTTTATCACATACTGATTAATAACTGCAATAATATATTTTCGTAGCTTCGAATCCTACTATCCTCGCTCCTGTTGTCACTAAGCACATTTCATTTTTAATGATTATAGTTAGCATTTGTGGTCTCTCGTCACCTCGTCTGTGTATTTTCCTGTAGCCTAGTATGTATATATATATATATTGCACGATCGACTGTTGCACGTGGGTGTATTGCACGTCTACAACAACATCCATAATGACAACTGAATGGAGCGGCATTTGACATGCTAAACAAACACTTTTTACATCACGAGAAACTGACTGCATGCGCCTCTTCAACCTACGAGCTGAAGCGGTCACAGTCAAATGCTAAAAAGACATAGAAACATACTAAAAGGAATCATCATGTGTTTGTAATTAATTTGTGCTGAGTATGGCTGTCGACCAAGTCATCCTATGCGCCCATCTCGTTGCCCTCTCCGACTTCATAAGGATCGACTAAACATACTCATCTTTAACCAACTGACTTGGTCTTTCGAGCACGATCTCAGAGTACAGACCTCTGTTATCTTTCATCACACACAAAGACTTCTAAAAAAATTACACTATGCATATATTCCACGGCATTAGATGGCCCCCAAATGGCAAAACACCTTTACGGCACTCCGATGAAATGCGACATACGACAGAGGCCTAACGATGGGATATGAATGAGCGCGTTACTTTAGTGCCGCTCTTCGTTTGAAAAGCCTGCGGAGAAGAACACCAACTACTAATAGGCATAATGCATTTCAAGTATTTGGGAAATAATAGTAACAGTCACAGGGGTGCATCATGGTGCGCATCTCGATTATATGTATATACACTTTAGATAGTGTCTGAAATAATGCAGACGGTCAGGTAAATGCAGGTCCGTAAATTCGTTTATTTATCATATCGTGTATATCGAGTTTTGTGGCGAGTGCTTGCTTCCAATTGTCAACAGTCATCCACTGATTCAGCTCTGGCAGTTCTACTGCCGTAACTGCAAGCTGATAAAAATGCTACACGAATACTTTCCATGCAGACCCGGTACCGTTTAACAAGCTTATTCGTATAAAGAAACCACAGTAATGGTCTAAAAAACGTTAACCTATTTCGAATTATCCTATTTCTACCTGACCCGACTCAAGTACCCCTTGTCTATATATCAGCATTATTTCACCCTACTATTATCTTTGGGTTAAGCAATTTTCTGTTCCTTCTGTTAGATAATGAAATTGTAAAACATATATTGTGTTTGCAGTGGTTATAGGGAGGCATTGAGGTCGGCGAAGAGATTCCCTTGTAACGACCTGTCATCGCCCTCTTAATGTGTAGTATCACATCTCTCGGGAAGGCTATTACTTGATGAATTAACTCGAAAATAATTACATGTTCTAGCGGTAGCGGGGTAACAACATTTACATACTGCGTTCCCGTTCGTTTACTGATGACTCTTCAGGATTGATCCTTTTTAATCAGCTACTTTCCTCTCCTTTCATATCGATCATATGATGCTGTTGCTTTCTGAATAACAGAGGGATGCGCTGGTACCAGCCGTCAGGGCAAAATTTTAATGGCTTGTTTCTATTCGGTACAATGGACGGTATTCATACCGGTCGAGTCCATTGTTGTTTCCTAATACAGATGGCAGAAGCGTTTCGTGCGTTGTTTTATGTCCCTAGACTGCTCTGAAACGTACCACGCAGCACTATAAAAGACCATTATCTGCCATTTAGATGGATAGCAATGCCAAATGTTATCTGTTATAGCTATACGTGCCCCTTTATGGAAACGACACTTCCGCATTGTGTGGCTTCGTTACGCTCTACAAGATAAAATAGATTTAATTAATAGATAGAGGTAAGTAAAAGCTGTTGTTTCATCTCGTTATCTCTCCATCGAAATATTTCCATTGCTCATTAAAAATTAAATACGAACTGAAATTTAAAAAACAAAAACGCTGGCAGATATGCCGTTTAATGAGATGTGTCAATAAAATATATTCGATATTGCAATAAATTAGAGTGCAAAAGGTAGCTATGTAATTTGAAAACAAACACAAACCCAAAACATTCTTAACTAAACAAATAAAGACACACCCTATAGAAAACAAACCTCAAACATCTTTTATATTATTATTACTACTCATACTGTCATTCATATTGTCGAGCTAGCAAGTGATTCTGAACGCAGAAAGGTCAACTATTGCTTAAATTAAAGATAATTCTAATTATAATTAAATAACAAAGATATAAAATTACTCATTCAACAATTCACATTCATACTATATGGAACCAAAAAAAAAACATATATATATATAGGTGTGTTTTTGTTTTTTTTTTTTCGATAACTGATGTGCAAGTAAATTCACATATAACAATTTATTGTGTCCATAGCAAGATGCTACTTTCATCTTCTGTCCACAGATTCTGATTGACCTTTGCTGCGGTCGTATATAACTACAAAATGATCCTTATTGCAACATGTAAATGACAGGACCCGTTAGACAGATTTGCATAAGTCGGACACAACAGCGTAAAGAGCAAAAAAGGGTCTGTGCTAACGTAAACTCATCAGGTAAGGTCATTTACTCTTATATACTCTCTTATAAGAGCCTGATGGATGATAAACCGTGATTACTTGCTTTAAAGAAATGTTTCGCCTATGCATATCATCTATAGTTGTGTACTTGAGTTTTATTGCACTCTGTAAATCAGAATGGTCGTATTCTATTGACAGTGTTTGCTTACAACCTGCTAAGAGACAGCAATCAAAATATTTCGGGTAGTCCCAGAGAGAAAAGGAGTATTCTGAAAAATTCCGGACGAGCCACGGTTCGCAGGCGTTATACATTGTAGAATTACGTGTACCATGATGAGGTTACTATATAATTAGTATACTGTGTTTGTTTGTTTGTTTAGTCTCGGAGAGACGCGTACAGTTGTTTATGTTATGGCTGTTTTCTTTGCAGTATGGCACGTACACGTTGGTGGTTTCGTCTGCTCTATTACGATCGTCGTAAACAAGAGCTTTCATCGAGAACATTGACCCTCTGAGGAGCTCTCGATATTTAGCCCCACTCGAAAATGTTATCTGTGCTATGCCTTTCTATTTCTGCTTCAAATCAGCCAGCCAGGAATAGTACAAAACCGCTAAGACAGCAATGAAACCAACAGTTGTTAACATTGTCACCCAGCTGACGAGTGGGGCTTCTTTTGTTTTCTACCGTACGTGTTTTTCGTCTATAGACAAGAATATGCTACGAGGAGCCAAACCAAATCGTTAGCCATCGACAAACTGCGAAACTCAAAAACAAGCTATCAGTTTTCAGGCTTCAATCAACAGCATGATGTATCAATAAAACATAGAACACTGTCGACGATATATAGTAGTCTTACTAGCTTTTATCGGTGATATACTCATTAATGCCCACTTAACACTTTCATTTACTCAGCTTCGCAATCAGCTAAAGGTACATCAACGATTAGTACGCCATTGCCAACAACGTTTAAATGCCTAGAAACATTCCTATCAGAAGACATGCTGCCATGAACAGATGCAAAGCCTGGCGTTCGTTGGTACTTTACAAACTGTACCGTATTTACTGTACACGTTGTTGCATCTCGAAGCCTTGTCCAATAAGATTCAAAGATCTCTTCGCGCTATCCCATATAGACGACTGAAGAGTGTACAAAAACCTTTGGACGATTCGTCAGTGGCTTATGGCTGGTCGTGCTCCTGTGCTTGTTCTGCCGGATCTCGCTCTTATCTCCCGGCAGGGTTTACGATAGTATTATACGGCATAATGGCTATACAGCATGATGTAATGTTCGCAAACGATCCCTATGACGCACCTTTTCATACCAGCCTTCTGTCAAACAAAAGGGTAGAGATACATGCGCGGCAAAGACACAATTCATTTGTTTCACAGCCACGTAGATTTCAGGTCCGTGACACCTTTGCGTGAACGCAGGAATGCGGCGGTCCTATGGCTTTGGCGCTCTTACTGTACGGTCTATTCCTGTAGAGTAATCTAAGACGGTAAGATGTATGCTAACCGCAGGTGGCTTGCCGGTTAGAGGCTATCGAGGTCCAAGAGCGACCTCCGTCTGCCTAGGCGCTCTGCCGATAACGGGTGTACTAGAAAATATGATTAAGGCCCGTGAGCGTGATGGACACGTGCACGCCACACGAAAATAACGCTGTGTACGACACCAAGCGGTTGCGGAGTCGATTCTCATTTTGGCTAGCTGACGATAGCCAGTATTGGTAGTATTGAACGGGCCCCCATCACAGGTTAAGTGAGTGGCGATTCTAATGAAATCTCTTGGCCGCTGTCTAGACGGATAAAAATCAGTACCGTTCAGTAAAAACACAAGCGGACCGCGCTTTGAAACTGGCTCACTCATCGACTGACTGGCCAGGCAATTATTAGCGACGGTTGGTTTTTTCAAACGGCTCAAACCATTGAGTCAATGCTAGGTTGGCTTGTCGCATCAGATTTGCATATGACCACACAGTTATCCTTCTGTTGTACCAAATATATAATATAAAAAATGTCGGGCAACGCTTGCTATTTTCGGCTGTTACTTTTTCTGCGTTTACAGATCGTCCATTCGGCTATTTGCTCGTGATACGATTGTCGAAAATATCAGTAATACCGTCATTGTAGGGTAGAGATTTTGCAGATGCCATGATCTATTGTTAATATTATAATTTTAATCAGTATTCTACCGGACACTTTTCTGTTTTTCTGCTTCGTACCCTACTAAACATTGTAGGCAAAGTGTACTGCAATATTATTATTATGTGCTTAGATGAGAGTCAATCTGTGCATTAACATAGTTTTATCTACGGTGTGTATATATATATATATATATATATTCATGTATATGTAGTCGTGGTAGTACATTGTTTCTGTGTAGGTAGTGCAGAAAAGTATACTAATAATAATAATAATATCACTATTATTATTATCATAATATTGTGTTTAAATTTCTTTTACCTCTATCTCGTTTGATCTCCATTGAATACACCGCAGGAAGACGCTAAAGACGTTCAGTTTCGCGTACGACGCAATAACCATTTCCCTCCCATCCGCTTCTTCAAAATCATTGATTTATTTGACCTATTTTTCAATGCTTACTTTTCTGTTTACCGTATGTTTGCAGTACCATCTTTTCTGCGTAGGATCTTTTGCTCTTTGTAGATTCGCTTCTTTCTCTGCTTTCTACCGAAAAGGAACTTCATCCCCGAAAACGATAAATGATTTATAGAACTGAAGTTCGACCTCACCAGTCGGTTGCATGATGGTTAAAAACAGTGTGTCGTTCTTATTTACATCAATGGGCTGGTTGCCGTCCTCCTTGTTTGCACGTTTTCCTACTGCATTAATCCGTCATCTGTAGGTAAACCTGTCATAGTCGATGACGCGATTAAATGTGTTCTATTTTCCTCTTTTATTTAACGACCCATTTGTATACTTATCATGAGTAGTTGAATTTTGTGCTAGATTTTTTACCATCTAGTAATGATTACTTACATTTCGTTTCGTAGTAAAGGTAATATTTTCGTTAGTCCTTTACTCTTTTCTTGATACTTTATAATCCATTTATTGTCATCATGACCATTACGATCCCAAACATAGTCTTCGGAAGTAACATTTTTTTTTATTCCATCTTTGACCTCAGCTATAAGGCACTTCTTCTAGTCAACTAAATTTCCTTGGTCAGTGTCACGGATTCGTGCCTTACAATTTTCCCTCTAGATATATCGTTTTGTTTAATACCAGTTGTCCCATTTTTCTTACAAGCGATTCTCCGACGCTCTCCTTTTCTTTCCTTTTAGGATACAAACTATCCATTGGCAAAAACTATGGAGACGACTGGTCTTGGAGACTTCGGAATGCAAGGCTGTGCTCTTCAATATTCCGGTAAGGTTTGAACGATGACAACCAGCGACGGTTCTACAGCGACTGGTGAGATCATTCTGCTCCAGGAGAACGAGGATCCCGAATCAGGAGGACTTGAGTACCCATCATCTCGAGGTCCGGGATTCTACTTGCTTTAATCATTATTACTTCCAATTTGTAGAAGCCATTGCAAGGAGGTCGGTTCACAGTGAAAAGCCTAAACGTCCACTACCATCTTCTTATGGATATCCGTGTTTCCGACAATCTGAAAAGTGCAAATGTGCGAATAAGTTATGAACAAGTTAAAAAGAAATATAAAACAACAATTAGATGATTCAAGGCAAAATATAGAGAAATCCAGATGTTCTTTTTAATGACTAGGTGCATAAGGATTTATTGCATAAGGGGTTAGAGTACGATGCGTGATCTTCTATTGCAGGTATAAATGATAACGCTCAAAACTGTTTGGTGATATTGCCTCTGTGTGGATAAGGAAGCTATCTTTTCATCGACGTTCCCGGCAAACTTGAGCAGATGATAGGAAGCAGGATGATTGGTTCGTCTGCTAGTTTACTCACCCCGCTTTACATCAAAACAGAACAGGCCGCATGCTATATGCAGAGGAAAAAGGAAGAGTCTAAGGCTTGAAGGCACGCAGCCAAGTCATCAACTTCTCTTAACGTCGAACCTCTCAGCCAGAACGATATATTCGCCCGTTTTCTCCAGCCCAATTGCACATCCTGCATTCTGATGCAGTAGCTAGAACGTGCCTAACAAGTATCCCACAATTACCGGCTCTCCCTTCCCTGGACCTTACGAACCCCCTTCTCGATTTTAGTCTCTAGCCTTCGGCGAGCTTTGATTTTTGTCAGCAAGGAAGCCTAATCATAGGGTAAGGCGAAGAACTTCGACTCCATAGTGGGCATATGCATCGCCGGCAAGTATTGGTAAGTGCTCGAGCTTTTGTCTGTTTCCTCTTCTGTATTCTGGAAACGATATCCAATTATATGAAAGGACAGGACGATAGCTTCACAGTTCATTTCGTCCCGGTCTTTATATCTCACCTTATTCTTCTTCGTCTACCAGTCTTCTACTGCCGTTCATGTTAACGATTTCGCCTGCATAGGCTGTTTTCGCACAAGCAAGCATCATCAACATAAATATAATCTAGGTAATATCACGTATTCACATAAACATTGTGCTTGCTCGAACTGCAGAGCTACTAACGGCAGCGGCAGGAACATCAGCACTTTTCTAGAAAACGTCCCTATTCTATTGCGTGCGAGTTTGTATACATATAAGAGTGTCGAGCTGCACACACGCAGTGCAATACAAATCCAACGCCGATGGTACGTAATCCACAATAGCTGTTGTTTAAGGGTAAGCAAAACTACTCGTTTTATCGTTATCTACAGACGGCCTGAGACCAAACAAACGTAACAGATTTAATTGCAACGACATAAGGCATCCGGCAGCTGGTATACGATAATACACTGATAGTGTACATGTTGTTGCTGGCCTTCGCAGCTTTTCCAGTTTACCAAACTGCTCAGATAACATGACAGTGGCATACAGGTGCGTAAAGAGGCAGGATCCTGCGGGTTGCGGTTGTTGGGTTCTAATAATTATTTGATCTGGGTTCGGTCGGGAGTGGCAGTAAACTGTTGACGCGGCGACATGGGGAGAGTGAAAGCAATGTCCAAAGCCGGCTCGCACAGCGGTACCGGTCGTTGAGGCGGGGTGACAAACCGTTTTCTTATTTCAATGTGAACATACGCTACTTTTGGCATTTCTCCTTGCCTCCGTTTGCCCTTGTCATTCTAAACTCCTAGCAAAAGTAGTTTCTGTTGTGCTTGTCATCTTTTTTGGATCTGTCTTTCGAATAGAACCGAGGGCGACGTTCCTGGTAATATTTTCTCGTTTGTCGCGGCAGCAGTTTAGAAAAAATGCTATAAGTCGCTTTGTCGCCCATCTTTAATTCTTTTTTCTAATGAGTTAAACAAACGGGAGGCAGAATGCCTATAAACAGTTCCAGGCAAAGACGAGCGTGGCTGGGAGATTTAAGAGAGTAGGACCCACTAGTTGAGTCAAGCGGGCATCCTATGCGAGGCAAGACTCTACAAGCCGAGTCGGCCTGTTAGACAGAGAAGGTCTGAACATGGGTTTACTTATTATCTCGGTCGCTAGATGTGCAAAGGTCACAATTTGCCATGGCAAAAATTGGCTCCGCCAGCAGATGCACCAGATCGAAAAGTTAATATTAGAAGAGGCCTGCTGGCTAGCCAGTGTTTGCTTCTTTTTCTCTTTCGGCGCCTTCTGCCGCTGCATCTGTCGCTTCTGCCTTTTCTGAATCCCCCAGCTCCGGACTCCTCTTTCTGGGCACGAAACTACGAAAAAAAAAACAAGAAGGGATGGTGTGGAAAGTAACATAGGTTTGACGTAACTAACTGTCCCGTGTATTCACATCGATAAAGGGTCAGTGATCAGCGGCTGGCCTGAATAAAAGGCGACATCATGATTTGTCCGCGAGACACTAAAAAGGTCAACGAACACTCGAAAATCTGCTGGGCTCGTCGGTTTATTTCTAGTGAAATCCTCTTTTAAAGGCATTCTTCAAGGATCGTCAATGTGAGGAAAAATCCATGTTGCCCTCGGGGCGAACTCACTTGAGGGTTTAAACGGTTGCGCTGTTTGCGACAACGTCGAGCCAACTTCGTCCAAATTCCGTGTCTAAAGGCATTGACCACTTAAAGAAAGAGCGATGACTTCAACGAAAACGACGACTAGAATACAAGAAGACAGGGTTACCAGCAGGAACGCGCCGCAGACAAAGTACTTGAACACGTTCAGAGAGAGCAACAACGCACGGAGTCCTTTCAGGAGGTTAGGGTATCTTGGATTTCGTCAGCAGCCCTTCCAAGGTAAGGGAAAATTGTGGATGACGAAAGAAGAACCGCTAGGTGATAATCAAAAGAAGAACTTGGTAGGCAACTGCCAGTTTTGTAGAGGCATACAGAAAGCTAACCACCTAGTAAATGATTAAGCAATGAGGAAAGGATGCTCGACTGCTTATGCAGTCTATTTTGCCGTCTTTTCCTGGAGAGAACGCTGCTATAGCGGCAAAAGTGCTAAGACCTGTGATAGAGGTGTAATACGGCGAACGAGGTCGCTAGATAGCGATAGCCTATTAACGCCTTTCCTTACATGACGAAAAAAGGGCTTGGTGAAAAAAGAGTTAAATTTACCTTTGGCTCCCTTTCATCCTATCCTCAGTACAGTGAGCAAAAGCTTCGTACTAGCTGTAAGTCGGCAGTAACCTAGTTAGACGTTTTCAACGGCATCATTTAATATTGCTCATTCCTTGTTGTCACTAGTGCGCGCTTAGTAGTTTTTCCTCTATTTAACTGTACTCTACATTCCGACTGTTTCTGTCGATTATTTTTGCAGTACACAACCGTTGCCCCCTGTTTATACCCTATTCAAAGCAGGCTTTAGCTGTGACCACCGGCGCCTTTACCTTATTTCCGACAAGGGTTCTCACTTAAAAAAAGTCCGGTGTGTGGTAAGGGCCAGAATGTCAAGTGCGCTGTAAAAGCGAACAGCCTCTGACACCCACCGATAATTTTATTGTGCTACCGAGCTTCAGCTTGCCGCTAAGCGAAAACGCATTTGCGTCGAGTTGGTTGTAGGCGTCAAGTGGATGTCAACAGCCGCATGTCAAAGATGGGCACGACGCTATTCGTTAAATTGTAAACTTATGGAAACATGATAATTTGTTCATGATATTGAGATTTTTATATACATATTCCGCACTTCGGTCCGTACGATCATCGAGTCACATACAATTGACAGTCTCAAGTAGCAAACCATTGTCATTTTTAGCTAAAATGATCAGCTGAATCATTTTCAACGGTCAGTGATAATAACAGGGATTTCAACTATACGCAAAAGGAGATAATAGTGTTTTTTTATTGTCATCTTTATAATCATTATCCTATATTGGCAACATTTTTGATTGGCTATTAGCCTTTTTCTAATAAATATATTACATTGCTATTGAATCTAGCTCAGTTCTAACCGCTCAATAAACTGGTGGTTGTGTCTTCATGCTATGATTGACACACAAAGCTTCTTTCGACGAGGACGAAGGTCATTCTATAAACTATATACCCTCCTCTGTAAACGGTGCCAATAATTCACTGTTCTCCATTAGTTCAAGGTTTAGACTGCTTGAGTGACAGCATCCGTGCGCCGTTCAGCTTATAAACGCTTCCCTCACTCTGGTTCTGTCCCACGTTCCCTGATGCACTCCAACGTCAGAAGCGGCTCCACAGTCGTAGTGGGAACGTTTATCAGCTATGGAAGCAGTCACCGCCGCAACTGAGCCAACTATCCTCACCCATCGCTCAAGTGAGTCCGAACGAGTCGCATGAAAAACAGGCCGCATAATTTGATGATGTTCTGATGATGAAGTACCGAAACGTAGCGAATTTTTGCCGACAGAGAGAGTGACAGTGACAATGGTAATCATTGGCTTTGATTAATTTTAACAGGAGCGTTCACTAAAAAGAACGCACAGCTGCTGAAGCGATTTCTCCAGCTCCACGAGCTCTCGCATTGTTTCGTGGAATCGCAGATTAGGTACTTGTCCTTAGCAACGACGGACCGAGGAATTAGCAGCTTGTTTCCAATTATCAGCGTAACTGCCTCAAATGTGGATCAAGAAATTCTTCAAAAATGCTTGACACTTTCGTAGACTAACTGTAAATATGTAAATCACATATCTATGGAGGAACACCTAAGAAAAGTAATGATGCTTTATGCAGGGTAACCAGACATGGGGCCAGCGTGACGAAGAAATGGCGCGGTCTAATACCAAGTGCGGATTGGTTTTATAGGTGGAGGTTTATAAGGTGGGGTGCTATAAGCTAACTAGTTAAAAAAATTCCTCTCTATAGGCAGTATTAGTAATTTTTTCAGTAGGCCCAAACTGAATACCATAAGAGTGTATATTTATATATTATATAAGCTTGCGAAATGTCAGGCCGCGTTGATTATATTAACACATACCAGTCTATAGAATACCTCTCATATTTTTTTAAAAGCCAATTTGGTAAATTCATCCTATTATGGACAAAGTGTGTTTGAACAACACACTATTCGACATAATGACAGTCATGAACAATTTTTTAAATCTGTTATCGTCCAAACACCTGACGTCACATTATCATTTGATCTCTGACCCAGCGGTTTTCATGCTGTAGC